TCTTATAAATGGTTAAATGTACTAATGTAGTAATTTACAGAGCCTTCAAAGTTGTCAATAATATGATAGTGCAGCACTGCCCGACTTGTAACCCAGGTCATCCAGTTGAAGGACATTCACCCACCAGCCATCCATACTGTCTCAGCTGTCACCAACATCATAGTAGTTCACTGAGCAGCAGATTGCATGTCATCACTGTACTGTGATAACCTTGATTTGTCTTTTACAGAATCATGAATTATCTCAAATGCTACACACAGTGTGAGCTGTTCAAATTTAATTGGTGGATGTTATCTTCTTCTATTATGATTAACAATTTGTTTAATTGGAAAATATATGGCGGTGACAAGGGAGATTCCATTTTTCCTCACACATCACCCATTTGTGCAACCTGTGATTCCACATAATATTTATAACATGCGAGTCATAATAAGTGATAAGATCAGCCTCCGAACACAGCCTGTGACAAGGTGAACAGTAAGGCATCTGAACTTAAAGTGGGATTTACTGTTGGAGGACAGAAATGGACCCTTTGTCTCCTTCCCAGTCTCCTAATGAATTGGTTTTAGTCTGTTTTGGAGCAAATTATCCTTCCCTCTCCTCCTAATTTTCCAATTTGCTGTGTCATTTATTCCTAATTGAGGACCGCAGTGGGCTGTATTACTCTCACAAATAGGGTGATATAGTTTATTGAAGGTCTGCTTTATACAGAGGGGCTGGTAAACCAAACATCAATTGTAGACCATACAGAAGATGGGGATTTTTCCCGGAGGCTGGGGAGCATTGCAAAGAGGCTTTAATTATTTCTCAAAGGCAATCCCAGCCATTACTCCACCGCTCATTTTATGGTCACTTTCCTTTTCTTTCTTTGATGGAGGTAATGAATGGGGTGAGAATTCACTTTATTTTATCCCTGCTCTGTCGCCCTTACTGGTTTTTGTATCTCATATTTGTCTAACCAAATAAGAAAAGCTTGTTTTCAACCTGCCCAGGCCAGGTTCAGCATAGAAATGAATAATAGCACAAAGCTCAGGTTAGTGCCTTCACTATTAATTCTTTCCACATTAAAACCCTGGGTATGCACACTGTGGTTTCTCCTGTTAGGAAAGTACAAGTTGGTGCCCTTGAGTCTGAAACTGTTCATAGCAAGAAAATGGCTAACAAAATTGTATTCATTTATTGTTGGTACAAATAGGTACAGGGCCAGACTTTCAAAGATTCAGTCTCAATGTCAAATGAACTATAAAACAAGGATGTGCAGTTAAACTCCTTACTCTTTCAATCACCTACAGCATTTCTTGAACCAACCAGTGTATGTCCAGTAAAAAACAAATCATTGAAAAAAAATCCATTGAAACACCTCAGTAAAGAATGCAAAGCTTTGAAATAAAAAAATATTGTACTGGTCAACAGCAGACACGTCAGTTTTCTAAATCCTTCATTTTCCTCAGAGTCCAGTGCAGCAGCAACAGACAAAGAAAAAACAGAGTATTTTGCTGAAACTAAACTGCTTTCATCTTTTACTCTTCACCTGCTGTCACTTCTTACATACACTGTACTGGCTGACACTTCAACTATTTACGGTGCACACACCTGAACTTCTTCTACCACTCATTGCACTGCAGTTTAAATCTAATGACAGCTCAACTGCTTCCATCTTTTTCATGGTCAAGACATTTCAGTTGCTTTCGTCTCTTAGACTTCAGCTGACAGTTTAGCTGCTTTCAGCTTTTATTGCAGCTGTTACTTCAACTACTTTCAGTGAGTTCATTCAAACTGACATCATCAGACATTTCATTTGCTTTCAGGCTTGGGCATCGACCGACATTTCAACTGCTGTCATCTCTTACACTTCAGCCAAAAGGTTAAATACAACTCAACTACAGATCTTAAACAAAATCTTCACACTTCAACTGATTTAAATTCCTTCCTAGAGAAAATCTTTCTTTTTGGTCATATTGGTTTTCCTGTGAGGAGATTCCCATCTGCACTGCACTGTCTGCACAAAGCTGTAATAACACAATTCAGGTCGTTTCATTTACATATGTAAGTAGTTTCTTGAATCACACAATAAGTTTTAATGTCAGAAATTTCTTTTGGTGGCTAGTGCACACTTTCCAACGCACCTGGACCTAAGACATTTGGATGTGCGAATATCTTCATCAAGAAAAGGTACCTAGTGCAAACAAACACTATCATGTCTCTCACAGACAAATGTCTGAATTTCAGACCCACCAAGGGGCTTCTCAAGCAAAAGTTTGTCTCTGTGCAATCAGCAAATGGCATTAACCTCCCACCTCTCCTCAGAGCAGCCCGTCATTTTCAGGACCTAATTTCCACTGGATTTTTTTTTTTTTGTTAGCAGCAGATGTTCCCCTCCACCCCACCCATCGTCAGGGGTGTCTGAGCGGCAGAGGGGCTGCCCATCAAAACGCCATCAGGACCCTGCTGGCTACCAGATGAACACATGCCCAGAATGTATCATGTGGGGGCAGTTCAGTCCCATTTACCTCTTCCTCCCCTCTGCTACTTCGCTTTACCATCAGTTTGCGTCCTCATAACTCTCCATCACCAAAGCAGACAGAACAAAGCATTCAGTGGCACTTTCTTTTGGTTTGTGCTGACAAACCAACTTAGCAAAAGATGAGTTTCAACCCCTGGCTGACTCAGTATGAATTGAGTGAGAGACAGTGGCAGACGGAGGTGTGGGCCCATGAATAAATCGATTAGCGGAGCACCTGACGGATGAGATTTTTAGGAGGCCTCGACGCACCAGAGAATTAATTTCGCTAGGAGAACATGCCTCTGCCAGGTTCATTCGTCTTGGCAGAAAATTTGGCAGTTTCCCCAGGTCTGGGGGCTCAATTAACCAATGGCTCTAGCAGTTTGGGGAGGGAACGGCTTTGTTGAGGAATACTCCACATTTATGTGTCAGACACATGTTAATGATAACAAATTTGGGGGATACAAAATGAGAGAGAGAATATGAAGGAGGGCGAGGTTAGATGATAAAAAGTCGGGGTAAGGGGCTCATAGATGGGATTGGGGCTCTGCTGTGGAACAAAGGACAGATAAAGAAATCATTCATGGAACCCTAAGGCAACTTAAAGCAGAAGTGATTGATTTGTTTGGCACTCTGAAATATTATTTCCAAATAATTATGTTAACCAACAATTGGGTAATTATACGTCCAGCCAACACTGAGACTAAATTAGCCTTTATTTGGAGTCATGTTTATGGCCACTCAACAAATGTGAGCACAATGTTCATTCTCCTTTGAGCTATGTTTTGGTCTCCACCAGCTTCAGAGAAAAAATATCTGGCTCTTTAACTGCAAAATGTGATGCACCAGCTAGTTGCTGAGTTTGTCTGTCATTTGGTAGTGAGCAGGTAGCATAGTTGGTTCCTCAGAGCTTTTTTGTTAAATAGAGCTTCCTTCCTGGAAATGGGTTTAATGAGTAAATCAAGACTGTAAAATTCAGAGCTGAAAAACCATAACAATGAGCTGAGAGACACAGTATAAAAAACTGCACTGAATAATGTTAATATAGAATTGGTTGGTGAGTGACAAAGCATCTCTGTACTGTGTCTCTCCCTCCCACTATCTCAGGTTCCAGTCCCTCATCCTGAACATCTCAGTGGATGATTTATGTAGCAGTGTTGCTCTGTGACCTCAAAATCCGCCCCATCCATACCGCACCTGTCACTGCGCCACTGCCTGCGTGCTTACTGAAAACCAAGCCATCCGTGCAAAATGGCAATTTTCCACCCACCTAGAGAATAAAAAAAAAAGAAAGGATCCAATCCATTCAGAGGCAAAACTAGGAAAATTCTATGATATGTAGAGCAGGTGCGCGAGGGCTCGGTGCTCCGCTAACGAGGGAGCTGAACCGCACGCACCACTGACCACAACATCTGTCGTTTGTAGGGATGCAGAGTTTGGTTTTTTACCTCTGCAACACAGTTTGCACAGCAAGAGACAGCAGATGATGAAGCGCTTAAGATGGATACAGATGGAAGGTACCAGGCCCAGTTTCAGCTGGGGGCACAAAGTTCCCATGCTGTGGCTTGGTAGCATATGATGCATGAGAATCCAGTGGGAATAGCAAAGAGTTATGCTTGTCTGTCTGGGCCCAAGGTGAGGCCCGGTCTGACCCAGTTCACCATCCCAGGCGGAAACCCTAACGAGCTCATCAGGCCTAACGAAGCTTAACAAGCTTCTAATTGGCAGCGTTATGATGTCCCCGAAGGTCAGAGAGCAGGTTCCTGTGCCAGGAGTGGAGAAAGGCTGCCACTTCCTGCCAACAGCATGTCACGTGGCTCACTAATGTCCCTCTGTGTAAACAAAGTCGTGAAAGGACAAGAGGAAGTTCTTACATAAGCAAAAGCAAGAGTTTGTTAACCTATAGAGCAAAATTACACACAAGAGAAAAGTGGACAGCTTTGGTAACAAAAGCTATTTTTAGGATACTTTGAGACAATTTATTCACGTCTATCACCAGTATCATAAATAAATCTCAACAGTGGAGCATGACAACAGTGATTTTCATTGTCTCCCGTAACTTTCCATATGATGTAATAAAACTCAATCACATGCACTACATTAAAATAGTCTGCTATGAGAATACAACCGTTAAATGTTATTACAACAGATCTCCATTGCTATTTTTCTCCATTTACAGTAGAACAACTGAAGTCACACTTTTTATTTTTAGCCTAGACAGAATGATTTTCTTGACAACTGAGAATACTTAGGAGAAGCACCGACTGTCTACCAAAGCAGCTATTCCAGACAACCAAACATCCTACAGTGAAATGCTGCCACCTACTGGTTACCATGCAAAGGTACAGCTTGGTGAAGCTTGAGCTGTCCACACAAAGAAGTCTTGTCTAGTGAATTGTGCTAATGACTACATGGGATTTCTTGTGTTAGAGTTACTCATCCACGCCCTTATTGAACCATCAGGTCTTAATGCCAAATAAACCATAATCACACAAACTTAGAGGTGCAGTCAAAATCCTTTATCAGTTTTGCAGACATGAAGATAAAAGTATGTACAAGAAGCATGTATTTGCACTAATAATGCAAATGCAAGCAGATTTATAGAAACATGGAGGGTCATTGAGTTCAACGGTAACAAAATGCAACATTTAAAAAAAGTAGGATTAGAGTGTATTTACAAAAGAACCAAAGAATGTACAGTAAATCGTATTTGCATGGTAGAAGAAGAAATGTTTCAGTTTGAAAAAACCTGAGGGATTTATCCTAACAGGGATTTCCCTTGTTTTCAGGAGGGGTTACAGGTGCTATTGTGAAGGGGGTGCGGGGGGAGCGACAGAAAATCACCAGTAGTTGCACCAGATTTCAGAAATTCCTGCAGGTTAAACTGGGCCAACAAAATGCTGATCAACTTTGAAGGACACTATAAAAACAGAAAAAAAAAGCAACATTAAGTCTACAGACAACCCATCCTGTGACATTCTGTAAAAGCCAGTAGTTACACTTGTACTCGCTCCATTCAAAAAGAATATCTGATGTTAAATATAAGTATATAAGATGAACCCCACTTTTCCTAAACTAATTTCTAGAAAAAAAATAATTTGTCTTATAATTTGGTAAACACGATGTCCTTTCTTCTCAGAGCAGTAGACGGTTAGGTCACTCTGATTTTCCACACAGTGTTGTTAGGCGATTCTGTAATTAAAAAGAAACCGATATGATGAGGGGAAAAGGCAGATACAAATAAACTGCTCTTACTCCACAGTGACACTACAGAGGTGATCAATACACGGTACCTTCAGCAACCGAATGCTCTTCAGGGCAGTGTCATCCAGTAGTGACAGGTCCACGGAGTCCATCTGACTGGCCAACAGCTGAATGCTCTGATCAACACATTATTACAAGACAAAGTGTTGGTAAATTAGCCCCTATGAAATTTAATTTCAAAGACAGATTTTGCAATAATAATTTAGACTTATATGCAAAGTAATTGTTGTATTCTAACTTCAAACATCTGATTTTAAAGCAGTCTTCATTTCTTCCTTCTAGTTATGTTCATAAGAATCTGTCCTTAGCTGACACTCCTGGTTAACACAATTCATTACTTGTATAAAATAATGTCCTGTAGGATCCACAACTCTGAGCCCAGCCAACTGTGCACTCACCTCTCCGTTGCCGATGGGGACGTTGATGACGATGTCCTCATTTCCTGCTGCAATGGGAGAGCCGTTGACTGAAATGCTATAGACCCTCTCTTTGTGGCGGGGAACTCTCACAGCAGGGGTCTTTGGAAGCCTGAGGAAAAGAGGGTCATGGTGAGTAACATGAATCCTTCACTGTGGGTAAAGTTTTACATTTTGAAAAAAAAAGAAAACACAAGATCCAGAGCAACAGCATTTCAATTAGCTAGCTAGTTGTGAGAACAAGTCTCCAATGCCCATTTAATGTATACAACTCATATAAAGATGCTAGGATCCACTTATAAAAAGAGCTAGTGCTTTACAGATCAACCTGAGATTTAATGCAATTATTTAGGTATTTATTTGCCGATTGTGTTCTATGAAAATAACAGTAAATGTGTTGGTGAAATTTCCTCAGTGTTAAATACTTATACTAGTATTTTATTAAAAACTGTTGCAGTGCAGATGTAAGTGTTATGCTTACCTGGGGTCAAAGCGTGGGGTGATGAGGGGAGTGGGTCCCATCATCAAAGAAGAATCCAGCATGCTCCTGGCAGGCGTCACCAAAGGCTTCCTGGACGATCTGAATCCAGAGACATGTTAATATTACATCACATTATTGGACAACTAAATTTCAGAAAAGGGGTTTAAAAAAGCAAAGAAAGGAAGAGAAAAAAAAAAACTTTCTTACCGTCTGATGGAGGTGCTCTGCTTACTGACTGACAGCGCCTTTGCCCTTTTTGATGTAGTTGGGGGCTTTCTTGTAGTTTTCCCCTAAATTAAGAACAAGCATTTTAACAACACAAAGGGACTGCACACAAATGGCACAGATACATTTACGATCAATGAGGCTACAGTTGGCTGTGTATTGTTTCTCTCTCATGTGACTGAATGAAAACGAGCCACTACCTTTCTTGTTGTGCTCGGGGTGTTTTCATCATCTGAACTGGATTTGGCTCCACCCTTTTTCTTTGACGCTGCGAGTTGGAGACAAAATAAATGGATAGGTTATTTTCCAGGCCATAAATTCTTGACTGGGTTGAAAGAATCTGGACAGATTAGCATCAATAGTATTGTCAATAGAACTTCAGTTTTTAGAACTGTTTTGAAAACAAGTTTTCACATACTTTTCTTGACTGATTTCAGAAGGACTGTGTGATCCTCAGCCACAACGCTCTCAACAATAGCAGCTTCCTCTTCTCTCTGTTAACAGACAGAAAAGAATCAAAAACTGAATGAGTGTATAATACAGCATAGGCTGTGCCTGCTAATGCCAAAGAGAATCTGAAACTTGTGTCACACTGTGAATCATGAGACATGGAATGAGATACAGAAATCATCGACTCACCTTCGCATCATCCACTGCTGGTGACTTTGGTTTCTCAGACTCTACAGAGAGAACGGTAAATGCTTTTAATTTAATGATGGTTAACGGGGCTATTTGTAAGTTTTCTCTGCCACCGAACGTGGTTTCTTGCCAGGAGTAGGTGGTGATGATTGTGGCTTGGCAAGAGCTTCAGCCATTGTTGTCTTTATAATACAAGAGGTTGTAATACGCCCTCTGAGAAGCGTGACATCTTCAGATTGGAGGCTACAGTGAGTAGCAATGGGAAGGTGACAAGACATGCTGATAAGGCCTGGGGCTGGCTGGTTAGCGTGCTAACTTCAGTAGAAGAAAAGAGGTGATAGAGACCGGAGTTAACACTGGTGTTGCTTTCCACCACTGGAGACAGCTCTTGGTGAGTAAAGGAAGTTTGATGCTGAACTTGCAATGTTTCTTCTAGACTGGTAAGTAAACAGCTGTAAATGCTAATGTTGGCTATGTAGCAAAAGCAAAACTTACAAATAACTCCTTTAAAGAATAAACCAATTTAGCTGTTAATTTGACAGAATATACACAGCTATAGTGCAGATGATACGTTTCATGCAAATGTGCCTAATATTTGCGACTACAGATATATGTATTGTGTACATATTTTTTAGAAATATTTCACTAGTGATTAATAAAAAATAAACATGTGTAAAATATTAATGCCAAAAAGCAACTCATACAATATAGTGTACAGGGTTCACCAAGTTAAATGGAAGACTTTTTAAGACATGTTTAATACCACATTGAATGCCATTTAATACTTATTTCACGGTCATACCTGCCAAAATATGAGACATCAATGAAAACAATAACTCCTAGTTATATAAACATGTCTAAAATAATCTGGACCTGGATAAGCAGCATAAAATGGATGGATGAATTAACCAATGAAAAAGTAACTCATTTCAGGTATACATTCGAATTTTACACAAGTCAGGTCAGAGGTCTGGAACAAAGTACTGGATTTTGTTCAAATCACATAGAAAAAATATTTCATAACTAATTTTACTGTCAATGGCAGGGTAGATGTTTAAGACCTTTGCAAGAGAATTTAAGACCTTAGAACAACTTAAATTAAAGACAAAGTCCAGACTTCTTAATACTTTGCAAGACCCTGATAGGATTCAGGAATCACAAAACTCAGTGTGTGAACAGTGTTCATAGAATCAGTGTAGTTTGGGTTTCAGAGTGTCTGTGTCAACTTACTGCAATGCTCCAACCAGGGCATCAGCCTGACAGCCTTGGGAAGCTTAATTAGTGCCATGTTGTAGCTGTTGTCAACATCTTTCAGCAGCTGATTGATCTTCTCTTTCAGTTGCCCAACCCTGGTTTTCACTACAAAAACAAGATTATTATACTAACCAGTAACCAAATTGGCTCCACATTGACAAACTACAACCATAACATGCTCCGTCATGATGCATTAGTATTAATTACAAAGTAAAGTAATAGCCACGACCACAAGTGAAAATATATATTATAATATATACCCTCGCTGTCGAAATCCTCCAGGAAAGCTTCTAGCTTGGCCGACTTAGGGTTGTTTTTCCGTTGTTTGGTGGTCCTTTTCCTGGGAGCCATGTCTGCATGGACATGCAGCGAGAAAGAGGTCAGTGCAAACTCGACAACTCGAAACACTAATATCATCAGATTACATTATTATCCTTTTAAAAAGAAACTGCAGACATGCGGCCGGCTGGTAATGAAGCTAACTTAACGTTAGCGAGCTAACCGTTAGTGCTAGTTCGTTAGCAACATCCCGAGTTTGCCCCGAAATTTGGCCGACTTGCTTTATTTTATCGTTTCATTCACACGCACAAACATGTCAAAGACTTAAACAAAGTATTTTTTCCAGTCATTGTGATTTATATTTGACAAACAATTCATTACCTGATTATGTTTTTTTCCCCCTCGGATCCTCGTCTCTCCCTTCTTCACAAAGTCGTTTTCAAATTTACGCGCGGGGAGGAGCCAACACTGCGAATCAGCCAATTAGGACGCGCGTTTTCCAGCGTCACAGTAAAATAGTTCTTGACCTATCATAGCAGCAAACGTCAGTATTTACATCAGGGGAACGGAAATGGTGTTCAAGCAACATGGTAGAAATGTGATGTTTTAGTAGCAACATATTTACACTACAAAGCGATTTAGAAATCGTATCGACGAAGTCTTTTGCTCCAAAACTGTTGAAAACAGACTGAAATACATGGATTAATTTATTGTACAAATGCAGCTTTCTTTTTGGTTAAACTAATGTATAAAAACCGTCACCTGAAATGTCCAAACCCACAGTAGCATCACTTCATCAAGCGCTGAGGAAAAGCTTCAAGAGTTTGGAAAACAATCAGAAAGTATGGAAGAGTGCGTTGGTCGAGTGCAGCCCTCTGATGGAGTCTCTCGGGAATTTGGCAGAGCAGTCAAGAGCGCTTTCAAACGTCCAAATCTCCAACACACCGCTCAGAGACTTTCCTGACCTGGAGGATCGGCTGCGTTTCAAACTCTTACAAGCCACGGACACCGTACTGGGCAAACTCAACGAGAAGATGTAAGTTACTGGGCAAATAGTGCAACCTATATTATGACTGTAATACCATGTAGTGCTATGTGCAGACTCATCTCTCTGACTGTCTACAGTCTACCTGAGATGTACAGCATTACAGACACGACTTATGTTTTTTTGCCATCTGTCTGATGTGGTTACTATATAATCACACATAACAGCAACCATGTACAGCCAGCTCAGCCTGTCCGAATATGAGCTATGTGCCTTTACTGACCCTCCAACTCCTAGTGACCCTGAGATTGAAACTTCCTCCTGAGTGGTATATCACTGTTGATTATTGGTATGCTGCTGCCATGTTACTGGCTTATTGCACTTAAAAACATTATGTCACTCATCCCACCAACATATACAGATTTTTGTTGTCACATGCCACCACTGATTATGAAATGGTGCTGTTATTTGTGGTTTATAAACTGAGTCACTCCTCTGTCACTAACAGATGCCACTTTCACTGTCATATTGTTCATCAATGGGGTACCACTCTTGTTATAGTGATTGATTCTTATTGGTATGCCACTTTGACTGGCATCTCGCTGCTGTTCTCCTGGCATGTGGCACATCTATTGTCACACATCTACTGGCATGAGACAATAAAACAAGTGGCACACCACTGGTAAATGGGAATATGTTACATGTGAGCTGTGCAATATCAGCTAAACAATAGTTTGAAACCATACTTTGGGGCACAGGGTACATATACTATCTATGTACCTATCCATCCCTCTCTACCTCTTTCCTTCAGGTCTTCTCTCCAGTCTGCCCGAGATGCCATCAGTAACCAGGTCTGTGCAGTCCTCCAGCTGTACGAGCAAAACACAGACAGCCTGGATGTACTCACTGTAACTGAGCGCTCGGCCACCACCCCATCTATCGCTGACATGCTGGAGTGGCTGCAGGATGCTGAGCGTCACTATCGGCAACAGTATCCTTTATCTTTGGGTTTGCGTTAGTTTTGGTTTGCAATATGTTCGGGGTCTTTTTTTTCTCCTCAACTCGTGAGTTCAGATTTCTGAGGAGGAAAACTCTGCTTCAGATGCTGAGAGCAGACAATCTCTCCCTTTTGGAATCTGCTCCCAAGAGATGGAAAACCTTGGAGTCTCCCAGTGCAGAAGACTGCATCACAGGTAAAATGTCCCTGTACAATATTGATTACTTCAGTGTAATGTTGATATGCAAAAATAACTTAATAATTTCATGTTGACTCTTTCAATTAAGGTTGTATTTACTTTCTAACCATTTTTGTTATTAATGTGTTATCCTTGTTTTACTGCAAAGTATTTTGCAACATTGTTTTGTAAAGTGTTGTGCAGATAAAACATGTACCTTGAAGCATTAGGTTACACCTTTAGAGACCATTTGAATCAGCCAACCTCTATAATCTGTAAATCAGGTACTGATGATGTATCATGCATTTCTCAGCCTTTTTTGGTTTTGATAGATATTTCATTTATTAATTTAGATAGTGGGTCAAAGCAAATGTATGTGCAGTCATGTGAAGCTACCTTTAAATATTTAATAGGAAAACTCTTTAAAAGTGTAAAACAAAAGCAAAAATGACTTTCACTAAGACTTTTCCTTTCATAGTTCATTGTCTTTTCAGTCATCCTCTGTATGTTGGGCCAACATGCATAAAATAGAAAATAAAAAAGTGGAAAACTTTTCACCTGACTTGGCAAACCCATGTTTTTGTAATGTCACTTTATAGAACGTTTGTTTTAGTTGAAGCTGGCCAATGCTCCGCATCGTTAAATAAATGGTGCTGAAGATCTGTAGGTGAATTAACTACTTCTCCGTCTTCTTTCAGATACAATTTACAAAGTGTCCTTCTTCATGGAGTCCCAATGAAGAGACTGCAAAGTAACATAAGTGAAACTCAGACCATGAAGAGGCTGGAAGAGAAGAACCGGATGAGAAAAACTAAACTAGCATCACTTAAACTAAACTGACTAAACATACAGGTGTACATTGGATCGATGCTCTTGATGCTAGGGTGAGGACTGGATTCTTATCTGGTCAGATAAAATGTCTCCAGATCTGTTCATGGATGGTATCGTATCTACATTCACCAGACTGTATGTACAAATATGTAAAACAAGATAAAGAGGAGGATTTCCACATATCTAAGTAAACCTCTGTCCACAAAAGGACATTATGGCATCATTTGATACTTGGTGTTGAATCAGTGAAAATCACTGTTCCATTTTGTTGTCTTGTTAATGACAAAACGATCCAGCACACAGAAGGAGAAAGACAGGTCCAACAGACAGGAGTTAGTTAAGTACACTTTACCAAACTTATTTTATTTCACAATTTTGATCTGTCCACACTCAGTCAAGGCTTTATGTGTCATATCAAGAGGTAATGACACTGTCAAAGAATATCACTGCAGTCTTCACGACACAAGCCATCATAAAAGCCGTCTTCACATTCAGACGTTTGTGAACGCTGTTGATTTGACAGTAAAGGCAGAGGGCTTTCTTCAAGCACTAATATAAATCACAGTGGAAGTCAAATTTCAAACAAACATGAATCTTTTGAAATATTGAAGACAAGTTTCACATTACAAAGAGATGTACAAACAAAGCAAAAATATAGGTTGAATATATATAATAAATATATAGATCTCAAATTCACCGACCTAAAACCTGGAAAGAACCAGAGTTACACAGTTTTTAACAGCATCCACTTCCTCCTCTCTACCTGCTGGTATTCCTTCCTCCCCCTCCTATACGTACTCCTTCAATGGGAGACTGTTGGTTGTGATAGGTTTAGGGGGGTCTGGTGCCGAAGCGGGTGAATTAGCAAAGCTCCGACCTATGTAACCCCTGCGATATCTGCCACTCCTCTCCATGAGGGGGCAGGTGCTGCTCAACACAGCCCCACTGATCATAAGAATGACTGCAGCTGCCCAGCCCAGATAAATCGCCTGACCCAGCTCTCGTTTGTGCATCAGGGGCACGTTGGGGTTGTAGAAATCCTGGACAACTGTGTTGGCAGTCCAGGAAACGGGAATCAAAACGCACAGGCCCGTGAGAATGAAGAGAACCCCGCCTGAGAGCGCGATACCGGCCTTGGCCCGGCGGTCGTCCCCAGCGCAGGTGGTGCACTTCATGCCGCAGCAGGACACGGTGCAGGAGAGCCAGCCCATGAAGATGGCCAAACACATGAGGGCCCGGGCCGCCTGGATGTCCGGAGGCAAGGCCAGCATGGAGTCATATGTCTTGCACTGCATGTGACCGGTGGTCTGGTAGATGCAGTTCATCCAGATGCCTTCCCACTTGATCTCTGAGGTCAGGATGTTGCTACCAATGAAGGCCGAGACCTTCCACTGAGGCAAGGCCGTGACGGCGATCGCCATGATCCAGCCGGTCACCGCGCAGGTGAAGCTGATCAGCTGCATGCCAGTGTTCACCATGATGACAACACTTCTTTAGACTCACTGCTTCTACTGAGTGATTACCAATCTTGAACTACTAGAGTTGTCTCTTTGGCAAGATCCTATTTTGTTCTTGTCCTTCTTTTGGTCTTCAAAGTCCGCTGCTTTGGTTTACTAGTCTTTCTGTGGTCTGGCTTTGCCAAGCTTCTTATGGTCCTCGCCCCAGTGTCAGTTTGTCAGCAGCCATTTTTCTTTTTCTCTTCAACATCTGTTCACTGTTTTCACCTCCACGTGTCCTGAAGTCACTGTGTTATGCAGATGTAATCGCCTGCTTTCTCTTGACAGTCATCCGCCTATTGAGAGCATCAGAGGCTCGCACACTTTCCCCTTCCTTTTCACTCCTGAGCTTGAGTCAATGCATTATTGAGTAGCCGATAGCTGTGCAGCCACCTGTGGCAGGATCAATCGGGCTTCACAGTCCAGGCCGTGTGGATGAAATGGATCTCAGCCAGGCTGGTTTCTTGTACGTGGATGTGGTTCTTTGCCTTCGACTGTGGTTCAAACCCAGGAGGCCGATTGTTGAACTGCACTGTATTTCAGTGTCACTCTGCTGGCTTGGTGTAGCCTTACCGAGATGGATCAGGCTGATATAACCTGATACTTGGATTCAAGGCCACTGATGCTGCTATGAGTGTATCCTGTCACAGCAAGGGTGAAAATAATGATGCTCGCTTACACAGAATAAAAACCGGCGTAGCTTTTTACCTCTTAGTCGACGGAAATCCAGTGTTTTGTCCTCACACAACAACTATCCGCTGAAGAGGAACAATTAGCTGTAAAAGAGTCAAAGAGGTTCTTCCAGTCACTTATTTGAGCAGCTTTTTAATCTGTGTTATGTAATTAAAAAATAAATAAATAAATAAAAAGCAGTTTTCCAGAGGGAAACAGGCAGCACACCTCATCAGACACTGCTGCTGTTTCCAGCTTAAGAGTCTCCTTGTTGACAATGAACGCGCCGGGGTCCAAGCCTTGACAAGGCCACTTCAGACTTCAGCTGCCGCTCGGCTTCACCCTCCCCCCAGCCGCTTCCTTTGGTATTTACGCAGCCCAAATGGGTCAATCCGGTTCCAGCAAGAGCATTAATAACAAATCAGGGCCGCAAAGTGAGACTTCTGGGTAAATAGAGCATCAGTTCATCTTTAGTCCCGCTGTTGACAGTCAAACCTACGAAAGCAACACTGAACCCCAGGGGAAAAAAAAAAAAAGAACACCCAGTGATGCGGGCGGGCGGGAGGGAGGGAGAGGGCAAAAGAGGGTGAGACAACAAAAGGAGGGAGGGATGGATGGAGCAGTGTCTGTAGGTGGATCACTTAACACAAAGACAATATGGGGGAGGCCTCTACAATGGGGATTACACACATTTGTGTTGCTCCATACCGCACAAACTCATGTATTTTAAAGGAGCTTTCACAAAAATTAGCTTCCATTTGCCCTTTTTGTCTGAAACGGCATTGAGAGGGAGAAACAGCTTTACAAAGCAGGCTCACGGTTCCTTTAACAATGAGGCTGAAATGCTGAAAAGCCACAAGAGAAACACACAGGTTACAGGTAAAAAGTCACTCACCTCTGTATTATGACACAGTTTCAACCCAGAATTCTGACGCTTTATTCAACATTGCTTTTTGTGTTTAATCTTAATTATTTCATCAAAATGAAGTGTCGCAAAATTGTGGCTGAAACATAAATGGTTTGAAATATATGAGGTCATTTATTATAGTTATTGTCAATATATTGTTAAGTAAACAGCTAGAGGAGAAAAAAAAATACTTTCTGTAACAGAAGGATGTGACAGCAGCTCTTTGTCTCCAATTCAGAAATTTCCCTTCTACCCAAGACCGCTCTCACTCAATCTGCATCACACTGAACCTTGGTGTTCCATTGTGCCGATGAATTAAATATCGTGGCATCAAGATCTGTGGTTCAGGTTTCCCTTTCTTCTGTAGCCTCCGCTCTCCTTGGTAACGGTGGTCATGACAACCAGCCGGGACACAGGAAACGGGAGAGGAGATGATACACAAAGGGAGGCAGAGGAAGGTGACACATACCAATGATGGCCATCCTGTGTGAATAGGATAGACAGATGTATGTATGTGTGTGTGTGTGTGTGTGTAGGAGCACAAGTGCAGAAAAGGATTGTAGTGAAATTACACTTTATCTTGCACTATCTTTCAGTCTTCTATGCATTTTAATAAATAGTTTAGATTCCCAATACAACTTATATGTCATAATATCATCACATAAGGGGTGAATGTGGTTTGGTGTTTTTTAATAACATTTTACACCTAAAAATACAGAATTTATGGCAAATGTGTTTTAGTCCAGAGAGGTCATACCTGCTGACTGCATGAACTCTTTTACCTGAGGCATCAGAAGGTGGAGGCATTGCCATCACAGCAACCACACCATCATTTCTGAAGTTCTCAGGAAAAATTAAAAGTTGAGTGAAAGATTTTGTGTCTGGCAACTGATAACTATCCCAAGACTTGAATGTGAAACTTTTTAAGACATAATTTTTTGTGGGTAGTTGCCTGAAGAGGACCTGCTAGTTGAAGCAGTGATAATAAAAAGGGAGCTGTGGTGTGTGCAGGTATCATGGATCTTTCTGTATCCAGCACCTGAGGTTTGGTGGATGTGCATATGACCATTTAGAATTGTTTTAACACGATAGGAAAACAAGTCTCTAATAAAATAACTAAAAAAAAAAATCATTAAAGGTGCTGTGATCACTTCATGCGACTACCATCAAGGTCAGGAAATGGTTACATCATTCATGTTTTACTGTTCTCAGTAATCATGTGATCATTTACCTTGGTAAAGAATGCCATCTAGTGACAAAACACACACACACAGGCCTTGGTGTTAATTGGTCAACTAGCTCCATAGAGGACGTCCAGTAAGAAACCATCTTCAATAGTACAACGTGTCATCAACCTGTCATCAATGATGAGAACACACACGCACACACCGTGTTATAGGCATAAAATACCAATTTATTACTTTGCACATTAACACAAGAATTCCCTGCAGGCTAAAAAAAAAAAAAAAAAAAGAAAAAAAAAAAGATTTATTTGAACATGTCACATAATAGCAATAACAGTGAGTGAATGGCCCTTTGCTGGTGGGGTGGGTGGGTGGAGCTAGAACATGCCCCGCCCTCTCACAACTGGTCAGAAAGGGTTCCGTTCATTCACAGGATTGGAACGTTCCATTCACGGAATTGGAATGTTCCAATTCTACGGTTCTATTGCTATTAGACAATCACACACAGCTTCAGAGACCACTAGCAGAAAAAAAAGAAACAGAGCAGAGCTGTAACAAACCCCCAAAAAAGGAACCAAAAAGGGAAAATAAAACAAAATTAAAATACACAATACACAATGTCAAATTACAAATCTGTTAAGATATAACAATATATCAAAGTGAGAGGAATTTAAAAAATAATTCATGCTCTCTTTCTATCGGGGCACAGAAAGAATTACCGATTTTTTTATTTATTTTTTTTAAAAAGGTTAAAAAGAGGTAATCCTGCTCCGCTGATGCCACGGAGACCCCTTCACAAAGAGGAAGTGCATTTGTGAGGGGTCAGCAGAGTTGCCATGGAGACAGGAGAGCCCCCCCCACCCCACCCCCATCAAAAGGTGTGGCCACAGGTACATTCCAGGAACGAGGAGACAAAAATGGATGCTCGCTACGGTAACCTGGCAAAGAGGAGAGGGGTTTCGGTCTTTAACGGGTCCAGGTTTGAAGAAAGTACCTCGTTTGAATTTGAACACGACGCAAAGAGCCGGCCCCCCCCTCACCTCAGAAAACAGCTTGTACCTCCCAAATTACTGACGTTTGTGTAGGAATCTTTAAAATACATCTTAGAGAGACTGGACAAATATTGCTAGCCTAAAACAGTCCCACTAAGTTGATAAACATTTACCCAAAAATAAAAAGGAAAAAAAAAAAAAAGCATTTATATTTTTTTCTTTCTCATAATAAATATGATTCCAAAAAGGTTTTTTTTCTTTTTTTTTTTAAAAAAGGACAATACTCTGGCATGCAGGCGAGCAAAGTCTAAATTTTGTTACTTTAAAAGAAAATTGTCTAAAGCCTACATAACTATTCCACCAAATGCACATTCCCACTGATTGATACAAGCAAATGAAATAAACAGAAAATTAAAAAAATAAAAGTACAGAGACACAATAGCGAGAGTAGACCAACAACCACAATGAGTAGAATTATAGCTTTGTTTTTCCACATTTGAAAACTAGAACTGGGTTTATATTGCTTTGCAATGTCATGTTACAAACAGGGAGTGATCATTTATCTGATTGGAGTTCAATGATCAAATCATGTGATTTACAACATCAAATCATTCCCTATTAGAGATGCCAGATGAATATTCAATCACAGCCCGCTTGGCTTGGTAAAACTAGTGCATGTTTGAGAAACTGATCTGCCCCTTTTAAACAGAGTAAAACTTATTGCATGCAATGCCTGGACAACACCCTCCCTATCCCCCACCCCCCTCCACTTGTCCTCCTCATTTGCTGCTTCTCTGCTCTCGGTCGATGCCAGCGCCCACGCCTTCAACAGGCAGGTGCTCAAACTCATTCATAGTAAACCTGCTGCTTTACGGGTGGTTTATTACAAAAGGGTTTTCACTGAGCTGTCCCCCCCTGATGAGGCGTGCACGCCGACTATTTCTCCAAACTCTCTGTTCTGCATCTTTATCCAATCGCAACACCAGGGGGCACCACTTGTGCAACTGTCACCACGTCACATCACTATCTTTTTCCCTCTGGTAACAGTTTGCTGAGTGTTTGTACAGGGGGTCCAAGGGCAGTGCTTATGCTTATTGTCAATTCATTTAATCCAGTGTTAAAAATGCATAAAAATAGGAAAAAAACACCGTTAAATAGTAGAGACTTTAAGATGGGTATACTTCAAATACACACAGAGTAATAGAAACCATTTTTAAAAAGTCTAAAAATTCAACTCATTGCCTATCGCAAACCGTTTTTTAACAAATCGCTTAATCTAGGTTCACTCCGATTACAATCCCTGATTGTCTCCAACTATCTGATCAAAACCAACCGATATCAGCTGAGTGACGAACACCGCGGCAGATCTGTCTAACCAGTTGGAGTGCTACACCACACCTTAAATCTGCCGCTAACCTTTACTCACATCAGAACCTACAGAGGAAGCATGAATTCATCCATCCTGGGGCCTACTTCTTCTCACCATAAGCCAGTATGCTACAAAAAATGTTTCCAACCCAAAGCTCTACTCCTTAACCTGCAGCTCAACAACCGAAGTCTATTCCTGAAGTCGCACTAGTAACTATATAACTGGCTTTGCTGCCATCCTTAAAATTTCATCACAATAGTAACAACATTGACAACAACGATAACAACAACAACATCAATGGTAAACTACTAATTCTAAAACAACAGTTTTTAAGATAACCACAAAACATCTTATATTAAACTTTTACAAATCTGCTTTGTTGATTCATATGTATAAATGCATAAAGGTAAGAGAGATTGAGAGTGCCCTCTGTTGCTTGCCTAGCGTCCCGGGTCAGTGCAATGAGTTGGCCAGTATTAGCAAAGGAGACCTCAAAAAACTACGTTGGTTTCCGGCCCTTGAAACTACAAAACTCAAAACTCAAAAAAAAAAAAAACGCAACGTCCAGCTGTGTCGTCATCATATAATCTTTCGGATAATCAGGTCCAAGGAAAAATAAGATCCTGCTTTTTCCACACAGAAAGCAAGGCTGATAAGACCATACTCTGTGTCTAATGCCTTCAGCCATCAACAGGTCCCAATACTGAGCCAGTCACAGGCCAGACCACAGTTACTACTGCTACACATCAGACCTGACTTCACTTACTACTTGAAATGGATGAAGCCACTTATTTTTCCTGGGATTCAAATGATGTTTTGAGGCACAAGAAGGAGCAGCTGGCTCCCAAAGGTGCGAATCCCACACATCTTGTACTAATGCACAGACGTTCAAAATGTAACTCAAAGCATTTCAATTAATAAGTGACCCAGGACTGCTACAAATACCCACCACCAGCCTCTATGAGGCCAGTTTAAGTCATATGTCTCAAAGTTGCTCTATAGATGTAAATATATGCTTATTTGTACTGTATGTGTGAATATAAAAACAAATCTGAGGCATTTACAGCAGTTATCTCCTTGATTTCCCTTTACAATTCAGTGGCCTGCCATGAAACACGTGAACACACAAACACACACTCATACAGCAGTACATGTATATACAGAGATGCACGCACACACACACACACACACACACACACACACACACACACACACACACACACACACACACACACAAACACACATGCACACGCGCGCACACACACACACACACACAGACTTGCGTATTCTTTGTTAAAATGGGAGGAAAGTAATAAATGGGCATGGACACCCTGGTCACCTCGCTTGTAAAAGACTGTAAAGGAGAAAAAGTTAAAACACACGCTCATAAAAAGGAAAAAATATATATATCATTCTCAAAAGGTCAACTCCCCTCCATCTCTTTTCATGTAGAGTTCCCTCCCCACTACCCAATAAACCCAAGACCTTGTGACAGATTTCGCCCAAAGGGGCTTTGAGGTAAAAGTAGATAAGAGTCCTGCTTAGCTGGGAGAGCTGAAGAGCTGTGCTGACAGATTGTGTCAATCCACTCCCTTGCTCAGTGTATTTTACAAACACAAGAGTGCAGACATTCAAATAGAAAAAACAAAAACAAACTAAAAAATAATGGCTCAACTTATAGTATGTGTGTGTATGGTTTGTTTTTGTTTTTTCGTTTTTTTTCCTTTTGTGCACTGGGAACCCTCGGGGTTCACAGTGCTGGATTGCTGGTTAGAAAGGCAGCTCAATTGGGAACGCTGGTTGGAGATTGTTCCATAAAACAGAAACTGCTGGACATCAAGACACAGCAGATTCTCCTGTCCAAGAGCTGCTTTGGTGCAGATTCAGAAAATGTAGAGTGAGTGTGAAGAGAAAGAGACAGACTACAAGGAGAGAGAGAGAGAAATGGGAGAAGAGAGAGACTGGCAAAAAAAAAAAAGGACAGAAAAAAAAAAAGAAAAAAAAAAAAGGGGGAATCCGCGGATGGACTGGCTGACGTGCTCGCTAGTTCAGGCGAAGTACATGGTGTGCTGGGTGTCATAGTGGATCTGAACTGCCTTGGCCAACGCCTGGGGGTCCCGGCCGTTACTCTGGCCCGACACATGGCTGCCTTCAGCGCTGGAATATAGAGAAAGGCAGCGTTTACTCCCCGACTCCATCACGAATGATATCACATCACAAAAAGCAGGAAAGGAACAGTAGAGAGGTGAAAACTAAGTGGTTGACGTCATAACATTCACCAGCTCCAGGAGGGTCCTGATTGACGGATTTAAAAGCTCAGATGTGTATACACTGTCTGATGACACATGAAAAAACAAGCAAAGATACAAATGCCTCTCGATGCATCGTTCCTCTAAGCTTTATCAAAGTTGGTTAAGTGGTCGAAGCAATTATGGTATTGACTATTTTGAGCATATTATCCCGTCAGCACAATCGCAGCCTTTCAAATAGTGTCACACAGATGGATTTCTATTCTAGTTTTAGTACATTTCAGATATGAGCTCTCCTGAACCACAACTATCCAGGAATCCCTTACCTGTCATGGTCTTTGTCCACCAGGTGGTAGCGGGCTCGGAAAGCCACTAGCCTGGCGTAGTAGGCTGGTGCTGGGATGGAGACGGAGCGAGTGCAGCGGACGTAGGTGTGGCACAGCTGGTAGGTGAGGAGCTGCAGTTCATCGGCCGTGAAACAGTTGTCATCCCACAGGACGTGATAGTGGGAGGGGCGACTGGTTCCCTGAGGGGGGGGGGGGGACATAATAAGTTACATGTCAATAGTGTCCTGATGATTTCATGAAACGCAGTGTGATGAGGTGGCCTACATTTATCTGGTGACACAAAAAAAAAAAAAAAAAAAAAAAAACACTTGATTTTTCTGAAGTAGACCAACCACTGTGCAATGAAATGTTCAGATCAGGCTCGTCAGTGAGTGAACTGAGGAGTTCTCCTGATCATGTGCTGTATCGTTACAAATCACTGCAAGTGTAACCCTCTTTTGTTTTTTGTTTTTTTTACAGCCATCTTTTAAATTTAAATTTAAAAAGGGAGAAGTGTTTTATGAAAAGATCTGTGGGTAGTGTATCACTTTAGATAACAGCCAAACCATCTGATGGGTCAAAGAAGCATCTCAATCACGCCGTTTATTGTTGTTAAGCATCATTACTGTGGTAACCACAGAGCAAAATTGCTGTAGCCCTGAAGACAATTTCCACTGAAATAATGGCCTTTAACCATAATTTTATTTTATTGTGCAAAATCCCTGCAACATTTCCAGCTCCCTCCAGGTCTCCACATCTCTTTATCAGCTTTGAAATAATTCAAAGTTGCATTTGAATTCTTATCAAGTTCAGCCATTTTATTTAGCGTATCTCTCACCTGAATCCCAGCATGGCTGCACAGGTAGAAGTCGAACTCGGACGGGTGTGTGATGGTACTGTCCACTGTGGTGCCGGCTGGGACATTACCGCTCTTCCCAACCTGTAGTGGGCAATCAGTGACATGACAGTTCATACAAAGCAGTGTTGTACAGTAGAAAATCATAACATGAACACGCCATGGCAGAGTGAACTCCCACTGACCCGCTCAGCTTTGTCAGAGCAGAAGAGACGAGTGTGGTGACGTTTCTGGACCACGATGTAGGTAATGCCCGGCCTGTAATCCTCCTCCAGACTGATACATGCCTTGCGGATGGCTATGAGCTCTGGCCACGCCACCTGAAAATACACAAAAACATGCATACACTTGAAAGGTAACCTATGCATAATGACTCACACTTAGTGACTTGGACACAAAAACGCCAAAAATATAACATACTTCAGACAAGTATAAAAATATGTGGTAAAACTCTGCTACATACTGCCAATCTCTCACCTGTTTCATCTGTCCCTCAGACACGCCGCCACGGTAGTAGATGATGCGTGTGGGCTTGAAGCGTGTGGACTTGTAGAACTGGATGAGCAGCTCCCGCACCATGTTGGTCAAGTCTTGGATGACCTCCTGGCTGAAGAGCTGCTCCTGGAGAGACAATAACATCTGATTTAGACTTGGAATGGAAGAAAGAAAAGGGGGAAGGGGGAGGTTCACAAAAAAACACAGTAAACTGCAGTTTATGGATCCATCAGACTTTGATGGAAGAGATGTGTCCATAAAACTGAGTTTAAAACTGACATGATTAAAGAAAATACTTAAAATTGATCTAAATAAGGTAGCAGTGAGCGGTAGGCTGGAACATGCCAAAGTGATTCAAACTCAATTGACAGATTTTAAGGAATTAGTACAAATGATCATCTTCTAGACAGAATGAAAATCCAAATGTCATTTTTAGGTCAAAAGATATTGAAGTTATGATCATATATGATAAAGAAAAGTCTCAAATCTTCATATTTGTGTAGCTAGAACTGGGTACTTTTGCTTGAAATTTCACAAAAACAATCAATTATCAGAATATGATTATTTTCTGTCAATAACCTAGTCAGTTAACCCTTTGACTGTTTCAGCTCACTCTCACTATTAAGTACAAACAGCGTGAAGTTACCTGGGACATGTCCTGTCGAGACGTTACCTGGGACATGTCTTGTCGAGACGTCTGGACACGCACTGTCGCGCAGTATCTGCTGGGGTGGCCGTCCATGCTGCCCACCACAGCCGCGATGGACGGCTTCTTCCCATCACCTGCTGGAGGATGTGTCACATCAGCACCTAAGAAGATGACCGGCTGCTGGAACACAGAGGGCCTGTGACCGAGAACAGGACGCACACAAAAGAGACTTTGAGTAAGAATATGATTTACAGTGCTGTGATGCAAAGTGTCAACCAAAACCAGCGTGACTAGGAAGAAAACTGAGGACAAAAAGATCCAAATATCATTATACAAAAGTTAAATGCCGACCAAATATTTACTCCTCAAGATTCTCAGAATAGAAACACCAGACTGAGTAAATGCCAGGAACTGCAAAATTTATATGAAGATTATGCAGATTAATACTTCAGTTCAGAATGCTCTTTACCACATGATTTCCAGGGGACTATTTATATTCAGAAAGCATCTCAGAAATCTCCAACATTCAAACCCAAGAAGCATTCCAGACTCCCATCTTGACTGCAACGAGGAAAATACAAAGTCCATGCTGACCTCTGATGAGGCACCAGGACGTTGTTGATGCCTCCCAGCTTGGCGTTGATCTTTAGGCAGAGGTTGGAGAGGGTCTGAGGGGACGTCTTCACTACGTTCTTCACCTGCACGCACTGGGTGGCCATGCCGAGGAGGGTGTCGCCCACCCGCTTCACTTCAGCTGCGGATAAAGACGGAGGTGACCAAGATCAATAACACAGAAATTTAGCTGAAAAAGTAATTACCTGTAGAGTCAAAAAATGAAGCTCATCCTACACATGAGACCCTCTTCAGTTTCGGTTCCTTACCATAGACGGGTGTTTTTCCGGGCAGAATGACCACAATCAGCTGCAGACCAACATAAGACATTTTGAGGTGTTTGAACATGGGCTCCACACTGTCAGCTCCTTGGGCGTATTTACAGAAACAAGGCTGGCCTTGAATGGGCATCCCAGCATCCTTTGAGATCTTTCGCAGCTGGTCAGTGAAGCTCCTAGTGACAAGCATTAAAAGCTCATTAGAAATCAGCAGTGTATCAGCAGTGAGAGCATAAGCAGAGACCATCTAAAAAATTCAAAACAGCAGGTACATGTAGATTTATTAAATATAAGCAAGATCATTGTATTTGCAGAGTATAATAAGTCAACGGCTAAACCATCACCTATAGAGGCTGTAAAACTCTTTATTATTAGAACATTAAGAGATAAAATGTGTTTCTGATATTTAGCAGTTGGGGTGATGTAAATGTTATAATTGGCCAAAGGTTGATGTAAAAAAAAAATAATAAAGTGACAAGTAATTTGTGTAGTGCTGTATTGGTAAATACAGAAATGGTTAAAGCCTGTGCCTCCTCCATTCTTGTATTATTCCACTAATTAAATGTGAAGTTAAACATTTTTCTTTTCTCGTCGGTAAATTCGGTGTTTTAGCATCTTAACATTTGCTGACATGCAAAGTAACATTAAAAAAAAAAAAAAAAAGTGCGGTAGAGCAACAGTCTGATGGGTATGTCATTAATTGTGAGGGTTTTTTTGTGATAATAAATGTCTGCAACAAATTCCACTGTAATCCATCCCACAGCTGCCAAGACATTTCACTCTGATTCACAAATGTCAACCTGCTGGTGGCACCAGAGGAAAAGTCAGGAGATCAACAAAGTCATTAAGATACACTGCCTTGGAACTATGAGTGTGTGTGTTAAAATGTCATGCCATGTATACATTAGTAGCTGAGATATTTCAGTCTGGACTGACATGCTGCCATCCTACAATAAGGTGTGTTTGTGTGTGTTATGTGCATCAACTGTATTTGCCTTATTTTGTCACCTTCCCTGGTTGTTGTTTAACACATTTCTGAGACAAGTCTCAACAACATAACATGACAAAAGGTCCATGACTCACTTGAGCAGGTCTTCCCGACACTGTTTCTGTGGGGCGAAGCAGGCCACAGCCCAGACCTTGATCTCGATGCCAGCGTAGAACTGCTTCCCTCTCATGTCCCACACGCCCTGGTTGGGCGTGGCCACGGTTTTATTCTGTGGAGAGAGTCCCTACTCTCTTAGTCAACCCCCCGGTTGGATGAACCAATACAAAAGGTACTACAGCCCAACCCACACTTTTGATTTCCCTTCCATTTGCAAACAAACATAATGTATTAAAACCCCACCCAGCCCCCACTGTACATTGTCTCTACATTGAGTCTACATTACACACTGAAAGGGTCCTCGCTGGTACTTGATATATTCGTACCAGTTTCAGATTTTTCTAATATTGTATAGATGTATTAAACAGGTCTGATATTCTGCACAAGACATCCATTGTGAGGCTTGTTTACAAGAGAAAGGATCACTTCCTTATTGCATGTAAATATCTGGGATTTATGGCTTCTCATATCAGGAGCTCTGACATGAACAGCGAAGCGAACAAGCGGATTGCATCTACTCAAAGAGACATCATTAGGTGAGTGCTCCTACGTCCGGGTTTGGTTGTGAATACAAATTCAAAATGCAGTGGCTTTCAGTTAAGTTAACAAGATTTGCCAAAGGCCATTAAGAGCTTTCATTCTCCAAAACAAGTGACCACAGTGAACTACTTGAGTGTGCCAAGAAAAAGTTAAGAGCTTCTCCATCTCATTACAAGATTGTCTCAAAAGTCTTTAACGTGATCATAGGTACAGGATTCAAAACTACCTAATAAATGATCGGCAGCAATATAAAACATATCATCACAGTGCATGTTACACAGCAAACATACTGTAGCCTTTCCCATCTCAGTCTGTGCATACAGTCTCATCAGGGAGCGCTCATCTCTTAGTGAAAACTTTGATGCAACTGTATGTACATCAACAACCAGCATGCCACGGAACAAAATGAAGAGTGAGTGTGTGTTTCATTCATACCAAGTGATCACAGAAATGGGAAAAGCTCTCAGTCTACATTTAAGGGTATTTCACCGGAAGCCGATTAGACTCGATATCCCAGCAGGCAAGTGGCCAAGCCTTTGAGAGAGAGAGAGGGAGTGTTGTGATAGGATCTTAAATTAACCAGCGTATAGTTCAGGCAGCCAATAGTGGGATTTAAGCTCGGTAGTGGCGCATAAGTGCTCTTTTTTTTTTTTTTTTCCTTCTTCTCAAGCAAGAAACTTCTTTTATTCTGAGGAACAATTTTCAGTGAAGTTCAGAGCACCAGCCAAAGAGGGAACCAATTTCCCCACAGGGATCATTAAAGTTTCATCTCGTCTTAGCAGAATCATTAAACGCTGTATCTGATTGGAGAGTTATATTCCAGCCCCTGTAGTATTTATATTAACCTTTTGATTTTCAGATGTGGGATGAAGTCAGATTTACTCCACGAGCTTTAGTGAATATTTCAGACACATTTTACTTTGATGCTGGGTGGTTTTGAGTCTTATCGTCCTCCTGTTGGCAACACATTCATTTTCCCCCCCTTACACACACAATCCTTGAATCCCAATGCAGCCGTTCACATCTTATAACAAGGTACTAATGTAAGAGTCAGAGTTTTTGCAGAAAATGGATAAAAGATTTTCCCAGATACATCTTCTGTTGACAAGCTGGATGCAAATGATTTCCTTTCAGGTCCATACAGGTCTGCTCAAAAATGTTTACACTTCTCTTCTGTGTGAACCATACAGTCTGGATCGGCTGATTTGAGATTCAGAGGGTGAATCTCAGCAGTCTGCAGCAACTAGCTCCTTGCCTCATTTCCTCCACCTACTTTGACACTACTGAATGTGACGAGTGAAAAGCCAAGCCCTCGTCTACGTGCAACATAATATCATTTACATGCTTACAAGCAGTGTCAGTGAAGGGAAAGAGTATTTTAAAAAGGAGATGCACGCACTGAACAGACTGCTGAAATGCACCAAAGGATTATAACAAAGGGCAAGTTCCAGATCTTTCAGGTCTGCATATTTTAAAATTGAATACCAGATCTGGTCACCACCTGAATTAATCGCTTCAAATAAACTTCAAGTTAATCTTGCATGTAATGGGAATACTGTGCAACATAAACCTTGCTTCAGACAGCAGCCTCTTTTTAACCATTCTGAATATGCATTAATGTTTAATTAGCTGTGGCTCAAAAATCCACCGCTCAATTAATTTGTGATAAAACTGTATCCAATTATCAAAAATCATTTAGCTCATCTTTCTGATTAAGGAGCCCCTTTAAACCTGGATCTTGCCCCATGACCCAGCATTCACTACATGATGCCCCCCCCCCCACCCTGTGCGTTCCCGGTCAGACTCATGCCCCCAGAGTGCAGCCCCTGCCCAGTACTCACCCTGCCACAGTCCCTCCCTGTGTCTGTACTCACCCGGCCCCCATACTGCAGCATGGGCGCTGGGAGAACACGCCCTGTCACCTCTGTCATGTCATTGTGCACCACAATGCCAAACTCCTTCAGGTAAGGGTCTGGGCCCCCGACCATGCTGTTGCTTTTGACCTGGGGAAAAAAAGGGTGAGGAGGAGAAGGAGGACATAAAAGTTTACATGAACCATTAAAGCAGAATATTCTTCTACGTTTCTCATATAAAGTTTTAAACCTACAGTTCCTTAAACTAGACGTTAGCTGATCTACTTGCTTTTCTTGCTCCAACCCCAAGAGGGAAACGGCACTCACCAGTCTGCTGATCTCCTCTTGTCTGTCGGGGGCTGAACGAGCTGTAGCTTTAATCATCGTGGATGTTTGGTTGTCTGTCAGTTTCTTGATACAGCGCTGGCCTGCTACAATGTTACAGACCTACAGAGCAGGAAAAAAAAAAGAAAAGAAAAAAGAAACTTATCAGCAATTACACAAAATCAATCAGATTTAAGGAACAACAGCGGGAAATCACCAAAAGGGAGAACGTCTGAAAACAGTCTCTTTCGCACCTCCAGGGGAAGATAGGTGTGCTTCTGTTCCTGCCCCACTTGCAGACAAGGTAAATGTGGATACTTGAGCTGCAGGTTGTACTTCTGCTTGAAATACTGAGCTACTGTGCACTCCATGGCTTGGCCGTTCTCAAGCTGTAAGGGGAACCTGTGAATAAATGGAATATGGAGTCCGTATGAGAGTGTAAAACAACACAAAAAAGGAAAAAACATGACCATGACTTGTGAATAGATTTGATATCCTTCACAATCTTATGACTTTTCACTACACATACAACACTGGTCTTGCTGAGATATGAGGGCAAACAAACTGATGAGTGCAAGAATGGTACTTACGTTTGGTGGCTGGCAGGTCGGCGAGTGACATTACACACACGATACTTCCTCTTCATCTGACCACAATGTGTGACCTCAACTTTCAAGCCTGCTCGAAAGACACAATGACAAAATTATGAAAATGAGCAGGACCCTTCTCTCACCATCTGCAATTTCAAATACTTTGATATCTTTTCTTAAATCTAGCTGGTTGCAGTTGCACTCCTCTGTTCCTCTGCAGGCATTTTCAGGCCATGGTAAAGATAAATGCTGACAGGGCAGCCAGTTGTGTAGAGGGGTTTTTACAGCTCTCTGCAGTTTCCTTTCAGACATTTGTCATAACTCAATTAAACAAACCACATGAAGCATACAGACAGTTTACTAGTGTGTACCGTTGAAAATATGGCCTCTGAAAAATACAAGTAGCTCCTGCAAGGTTACTTTAGTGGCTCTTTGTGCAGTAACAATAGCAGAGATGAAGACAAGAAGAGACCAGAGCTGCTTCAAACAGCAGTGGTTTTTGCATCAAATTAAATGTGAACACTTGTGAATCTCATGGATGTATTTTCTGATGTGAGACTCTCCAGTTTCTGTTAATCCTTTCTTCCCCAAGGTTAAGAAACAAGTCCTCAGCACTGGTGGAGATTAAGCAGTGAAAATACAGCCATGAGTATGTGTCAGGAGTGGGTGCAGTTTCTTTACTTCTTTGACACTGCATAAAAACAAACATGCGTGTGCCTCGCAGGCTCACACCTACATGTAATCTCTGAGGTGAACTGAATACACACTGAGTCATACAAGTTGTGTGTAGTGTGTGTGCTGGTAACGAGTGCCCACCTCTTATTTCCTTAGTGAATTTGACACGCTGCGAGTCCGTCAGTGGTTTGGTCTGTTCGTTGATGTTCTGGATATCGAGCACCTCGCACATGAACTCTATCACAGGCTGAGCACGGTAGAAAGCAGTGGCTGACACTGTGGGGTAAAAGAGATACGAATTTATTTGTGCATAGAAAACACGTTAAATCTTACTGAGCAGAGTATTGAGTTGTGGCAGAGGCTGCAGCATTAGACACAACAAGACTCATCATATCAGTTAGTTAAAACTTACATGAGGTAACAACCAGAGAGAGAACACAGTAGGTGTAGTCACACACAAGGTGATTGTTTTTATGAATGGATTCAGAGCAAAGTTAAAATCCCCCACAGCGCTGAAGGTCTTACCATCGATGTTGAGCATCATGTTCCACATGGCAGGACGGACAGACTGATGGAAACCAAACCACACCTCCCGACCTCCACCAAGAGGATGGTAATAGCCCTCCGGAGGGGAGAAAAACGAACGCCCCACTGGAGTGTACCTTTGTGCACAAACGCAGAAGGTCAATGACTGACATCATCGACTGAGTCATTCGGGCGTTCTGCTTAAGAGATCACAAATTCTAAAATCTGATAGTATCACTAAAGTTTCCCCATTTTATTTCTATAAGACTGCCGTCATGGAATTAAGATCTTTTGTGTTACAGAAATACAACGGTGACTAAGGCCACTATCCCACTTCATAACTGATAAATTAACATGGACTCAAACAACCTTACTGAAGCTTATAAGAGCATCATTATTTTCCAGGAGTGGCAGGTGCAAAATATTCATTCATGTCCCCAGTTTATGCTATAAAATATGAGTTCTACAGCTTACAGTTAAAATTATTTTGATGAACTGAAATGAATAATTTTGGTGTACCTGGACACTTGTAGCATGCCATACATTTGCAAAACTGCATAAAATGCATATGAAATCAAGTCTGGGGAAGATGTTTGTATTGTTTTTGCATCAAGAACTCATCTAGTAGTTTAGTAATACACACAAAAAGACAAATACCAGGTTAATACCATATTAAAAAGATATATAAGAGAGTTTCTCATAATGCAGTAGTGTCAAGTAAATTTGGTGTGTAAGCTGAAGTAAGATGATGTGAAGATTCATTCAGTTGTTGCATTAATGTTACAAAAGCTGATGTAAGTGAGTCAATTCCCTGAAAAAATATCCATAGCACTGTAATGAACTGTGGAGAGACAAACTTATAGCAGAGTTAGATTTGATTTGATTTGATCAGAGAGACATGTGACAGCAGGAAATTAAGTAATACAGACGAATTCAAGATGAAAAGCAATAACTCTGTCTAAGAAAACGTGGCTGATGTGTCAGTTAAAAAGACACAGATGGATGAATCGCGATACCTCATGGAAGGCAGATGCCGTGTGATGACATCCAGAGCCTGGACAGAGTCTTCGGGGACCTCGTTAAGGTGGCCTGACAGGGCTTCCAGCAGCATCTGAAGACTGACCACAGACACCCACTGCAAGGACACCTTGAACGTCTGATCCTTCCCCTCGCCAGGCAGGGTCACCTCCAGATCCACCTACGAGTAGAGAGAGAGCGAGAGAGAGAGAGTGTCAGGGAGGCGAGGACAGAGAAGGAGGGGAAAAGGACAAAGGAAGTGAGGCAAACAAAAAAAACAAGTGAGGAGAACATTGATTGAGGAACAGGATGACGGAAAGATATGAGTACCCAAAAGCAAAGTAAATTGAAAGAAGACAGCAACACCTAAAAATCCCTGGTGGATCAATTTGCCTTTGAAATGACAAAAGATGAGGCAGCATTAAAACATTTCATTAGTGCATCCACATCGAGTCAACAGGTGTAAAACAAATTCTCTTAATGATGGAAAGATGTAATTCTTGTTATTGTAGAAATGTGAATGATTTTTTAATGTTACATTTATTGCCTTTGCTAAGCATGAAGATATTTAAAAAAAAAAGGAAGCTTCATTTCCACTTCGCTCTGGTTACTATTGCTACATTGTATTTTGCAATCATGTTTACATTTTCGGTCTGGTGGTGAATTTCTCATTTACAGAGATGAGGTCACAGGCCAAACACAGACAACTAAATGTCACATAAAAGGAACACCTCCACTGACTTTTTCATTTACTGTATCTTAACATTAGTATTCTGATGTTGTCTCTGGAGGTTCAGAGTCAAAGAGAGAAAGGCTCCAAGAGAGAAATGTATTATTTAGAGGTCAGACACTAATTTCCCTAATTAAAGCATCCATTGCTCATAATGCAGCAGCCAGACTATTTGAAAATGACTAGTTTCAATAGCTGAGAAATTATATCCTCAGAAAAGTGTGCTATAAAAACACTTACCAAATCACATAACCATAACTGAACGAAAAAAACGTCTTGATATTCTTGGGCATTTTTCAGGCGGATGTTGGTAAAAGGTAGATTCAGGAAAAGTGGCTCGCAGAAAGACATCAAAATTGCTTTCCACAAAGCAATCAGCCGACAGGTTAATGAAATATTACAGCCTAAGAGTGTCTGCGGTTATATCTTCTTTTAGAAGTATTAGGAGTCTCACATTCTTGCTCCTGATTTTCCAGGCTAATCTGGAATCCAAGCGGGCAGCCGTCCAATCACAAATCTAGATACATCTAGTCTGCCTGCTCAACCTAATCCACTAAACCATTTTATATGTTTGACACCTCCTAAAATATGAAATCAAAATATGAAATCATTTGGTTTATGTTCTTAAAATACAAACCATTTCTCCCTTCATGAATCTTTAGAGCTGACTGACTTTTCCATTCACACACAGTTTTTAAAAGACATGAATCTGTGTATATGTTGAAGTGTTTCAGACACCAACCCTGTCTCTCCCTATTGGCAGTGGATGTGCTGTGTACATGTTCCTCTTCCCATCGTAGCCAGGCTGTCGGTCTCCAAAGATCTGCATCTTGAAGTGCCGCACCATGGTGTCCACCACCTCCCTGGAAGGCAGAGCTCTCAGGATGGTAACACACACACACACACACACACACATTAGAGACCATGTAAACACAAATAGGGATACAGTTTCATACTGCAATATAGTAAATGATGCTATTTTCTGCTGTTACTAGAATCTAAAACCTCAGAGACAAGTTTCTCCTTGGGCAGTATGTGGTTATATTGGCTACAGATACAACTGGCGTTTCAAAGTCATAAATACCTAAGATAAAACTTCCAATGAAAAATAATTACTGCTAAAAACTATCTGAGGTTTTACCTGTTGACCCTCCGAGGCCGTTTCTCAGGCTTGATGTCGATATCATAGTGATAGACATCAATCTTGGGAATCTGCACCTGAAAGTGGTTGGCAAGGAGCCGGATGGGTTTCCCCACCGTGCCGAGGCCGGGACGCCGCGGAGGCTGAAACAGAGAGGTAGGGGCGGGCGGGCCTGGAGAGAAGGTAGAGAAAAGGGGGGTTATATTTAATATGCAACATCACAACAGTTACATAATGATTCTCTACATGGAAATCAATGATTAGCACCAGCTCAGGGTTCAAATGGACATTTATTGACATTGCAATCAATATAACCCAGTTTAGCGAGAGTATCAGTGTCTTTATTTTAAAAAGGTGAATATATACATTAGTCCTGTTCCTCCTCTCAGTGAAAGCTAGTTTACCAGAGTCTAGTAAAGAATGCACAGATCCTACACCAAGTTTCAAACGAAGCATGTATGGCATTTATTTTGTACTGGAACAAGGGTGGCGTCAGTGAGAGTGTGCGTTCATCTCTCAATAAACATCAGATTTGAAAGACGAGCGCGTGCGGCGTAACGCCAAGCTTGTTGCAAACCATCTCGTCAGTGACACCTGCTTGAATGCACTGAAATGGCCTCGCAGCCCAGAGGCGCACATATACGCTTTGATTGATCTGCAACTCCGGCCCCTGACCTACATGGGTCAACGAGGGGGCTGGCGAAACAATGACCTCCAATTATCCTTCAGCCCGCCCCCAGCTCCACCCAGACACACAGGGCGCCCACCCCTCACGCCGAGACAAAGACACAGCTCCTCTCAGACAGAGACAGCAGGGCCACATGGGGAGGGGGTTCCACGCAGAGAGTCTGGGATTACCGTTACAAACAGTATGCGCCACGCACGCATCTCACCCACATTACACTTTACATACAGTTATACGCACGTGCAGGTGTCAAAACACAGGTGTGGTGCCTGTGACTCTGACACAGCAGCATAAAAAAAGCTGCTGGCAACAGAGGCGCACAATGTCTGCAACGCTTTAATCACAAGTTTAAAAACAGCACATATGTAATTGTGACCTCAGGCCGCCTCTAGTTACAGCAAACCTGATAATGACTCATCTCTCTCACACATCAACATTACTCGTTTACATCAACATGGAATGAAGGAGGCCCTGGGACGCTCTGTCAAAATCTACAAAGAGGAAACGCATACAGTACTTTGCTCTGAGTTCGGATGGGATAAAAGGAAAACAGAAGTCGGCATACTTCAGACAAAATATATATAAATATAAAAAACAAAGTTAAAAAAATATTTTGTTGGTGCTACTGAAGGAGGTTGGAGGAGGCTGCTTAATGCTTTTGTCAACGGAGAGCTTAGAGACTGCGGGGGTCCTCCTGAACTCCATGCACCCACACGCTCCAGTTAGCAAGTGAAGCGCGAGAACACAGACAATCGGGACCCTCCCCATCGCTTCCTGAAAACACGCTTCCCAACATGCCCTCATGTCGCCTGGGCCCCAAATCACCTCCCCTGCTTCCCTATCAGGCCTACCCACTGCTGCTCCTCCTCCATCATACAAACAAACCATTAGCTTGATTGTAACATCATTCAGCTTTTCTAACTCATTTTGTTTATGACACAGTCTTAAATAAGAAGCCATTGTTGCATGTCTGAGGCTCTTTGTCATGACTTGGATTAAAATCATCTGATGATTCAGTCTACTTCGCCCTACTGGCCTTGTTGCTGATAGCAAAAAAGACATGCCAAGTGCTCTGTGCTATGCTGCAAACTGGCAAGCACAACACATTGTGTGTATAGCTCTGCATTATGTGCCACAAGCACACTACAACATTTCAAGTGTACTGCAACTCAATGGTAATTCAGCATTAATTTTTCCCTCCATACTGGTGCTTTGTGTTGATGATGTGTATGGAAAACTTCACATGCAGGAAAATGTGTTTACATAAGATTCTGTTGTATGTCCAAAAAGAATCTGAATAAAATGCAGCCACCATACACCAAAAAACAAGACACTACACAGTTAAATCAAAACATTTTCCAAACAATCTTCACACAAAAGATGACCTTTAACAAAGCGAATACATTTTATAGGTCTCCTGTAGCGCAATTTAAGACCTTTCTAATACCAAACTATGCAATTCAACACCGATTTCACCATCATACCAGTACGGACAATACAGCCTAGATTTGTTCATCAGTACATCACATTTTTTCAGTACTTCCCAGCAGTATACAACAGTAATTCTTAATGATGATTAATTAAATCAACACATCTATTAATTCACAGTCACAGCATTAATTAATTTCAACATTTGTAACAATCACACTTGAAGTTTATAGGTGTGTAACGTCTTCTGACAGCTCGCAATCAGTTACAAAAACATCTTGAACCTCACATTGCTGTCTACAGCAGCCAGGTGAAAAGTTTTAAGACTTAACTAAATAAAATTGAAGACTTCTGAGGCCTTTTGTTTTGAGGACACAAAATTCAATGCATTTATACCTGCGGATTTTACAGTCTTGAACTGCACGGATTTGTAAATCCGTTTCTATGTTTTCTGCTCATTGGCTGCATGTACAGGTAGTACAGAAAGGATTTTACTCTGTGTGTGCGCGTGCAGCTCAGTGAGTTCGAGGTCCTCCTCTTCCACTTTCACCAAAAACAGAGCTGTACCTATATATAGCCTCCTCAGCTGCCACACTACCACGCTGTGGGCGAGTGCCTCAACGTGAAATGCCCAAACCCATCCTTCCTCTACAACCCGCCTTCTCACCGCTATCAACACCACCACCACACCTACCTCTAAGGTTTTAATTACTTAATCTGCCAGTTATTTTCTTGATAGGCATAATTATTGTTCAGTGTAGAAATTTAAGAAAAAGTTTGTTTTTTTTTTTTTGGTTTTTTTTTTTTTAAAAGCCAAAGTTGATGTCCTAAAAGTGTCAAAACCCAAAAGGTATTCCGTTTATAATCACAGAAGACAAAGAAAAGCAACAAATTCTCACAACCGAGAAGCTGGAAATCAGAAGTGTTTGATTGTTTTGTTTACAGAAAAATAAGCTTAAAAGAAGACTTTGATCATCACAACAGTTGTCTGTCTATCAGCTAACAAAAAAACCAACCAGCTCTAAATGAATGTCTCACTTGTACTATTATGGGTTTGTTGTTTTTCTTCATTCAGGTAGTTTAGGTGCGCAAACAAAATGGCAACAAGTGAAAAAGGAAATAGATACAAATATGCAGGTGATAAAACTGAAAGAACAAACTGTGGAAAAATACAAGCTACGGGGCTGCGATTGAGGATTATTTTCATTAATCTGCTGATTACTTTTACACTTAATCAAAGAAACATCAAAAGAGCGTTGAGAGAAATGCCTATCACCACGTCCAAGAGCTCAAGATGGCATCTTCAAATGTCTTGTTTTGTTCATCCGACAGGCCAAAGCTTTCAATGATACATGACAAACAGAAGCAGCAAATCCTCACGTGAGAAGCTGGAACTAGAGACTGTTTGGCAGGTTTTCACTATTTTTGCTTGAAAAATGACAAACAATTAACCAATTATCAAAACAGTTAATGGTAGATTATTTCTCTGTCCACAAGCAAATGGATTAATCTTTTCAGCTCTCACCAGATGACATCAAAACGAAATCAAAACACAAAAACTGACCTGCATTGGTATGTTGTGCAAGTAAGGAACAAGAACGCAAGAGATAAATGTTGGGTCACTTCAGTATTTTGTACTGCCACTCCCAGCGACGGGAGAAAAAAAAAGAAAAACCCCACACACACACACACACACACACGTTGGCCTACATTCATGCAAATGAGGATATTTTAGAGCCCCAACCTGGACGGGACCTGTCATGGGGAAAAGATGGGCACAGGCAAGCAGACATAAAAAATTAACCAACAGCTTCTAATAGGAGAAAACGAAGCTATTTGACATCAGAGAGTACAACTTCATTACAAATTAAAGCTATAAAAGTGTAAAAGAACATTATGTCCATCAAGAGACCCGCTTTTAAACGACTTCTCTCCGGAGTATGTCCATCTTCTTCATGCGTATTTTGATATCTATTACTCTAGTCTTGGAGAAAATTTACATTTGGATGTCAATTGTGTGTTTAATACATCCATTACATGCATTATTGATTAATATCACTGAGCTGAAAATCTGATCTGTGAAGCATTTTCTCTCTGACAGACTAACTTATCAATAAAACATTTTAAAAAAAGAGCTAGATATCATATAGAAGAGACCCTGCAGACTTTTCAAAGGTGGCATTTAGGGCTCGGTTTAAACAACCCATCAAGTGTGCTTCCTCCATAATTGTATGCTTCTGCTCTAAGTGAGACAGAGCTGCATTTACTTTGAGTCACAGAGGAAGTGAAATTAGCTTTTCCTGGCGCAGAAAATGACAGATGCACTGGAGGCAAACAAATCTATCTGCTCCCTGTGTTGTCCATGTGCTTCCTTCAGCTTTAGGTTCAAATTGACCACTAACATGTTCAAGGAGCAACACGGTATCAAGATCATCGCCTGCCTGTCTCGCTGTGCCGATTTTTCTCTTCACCGATTTAAAAACCATTTAATTGTGCGCAATGTACTCACATTTGCTGAGTGAGGTTTGCTACTCATGCACCGTGGAGCCTACTAATGCTATGCGTGTCCCTGGTAACCAGTGTGATCATGCTGGGAGACAGCTGGGCTTAAAGCTAAGCATGAGGATGATGGCTTGGCCTGGTGATGAGTCAGACTAACAGCACTGAGCAGGGAGCACACTGACGCCCACACCTGCAAATCACCTGGATTAAGGTACTATACACTGGACTGCGGAAAAGGTAGATGTACTGAGAAAAGCCTGACCACTGACTGATCACAAAATGGAAATATCCACTCGCCAGTGTAAAAGTGACTATATGTGGCAGCTCATACTCAAATTTTTCATCAAATGTAGCCATTTTATTTATTTTACTCCAGGCTTATGCCCCCCCCCCCATATTCATGAAGTTGAGTCATATTATTTGGGAAAATCATGAATTTCTCACTCAAGCTTAAAATGTCTCATCTTCAGTGGACTCATCTTTGGGAAGCAAACTGCTCTCCTCCATTTATACGTTTCCTGTGACAATCAGTGTATTTGTGCCAGCCTTTAATTTGCATCAGTTTGTTTCTGAACACACACCGTTTTCACAGATGGACCCCACAGATTTGGAAACAAAGAAAACCCCCACACAGATTAAACCTGCTGCTTTGTGAATACACCTCAGACCTACATCACATCATTACACACAACTTTTGGGAGCCCTGCTTAAATAATTCCAGCCACACCAAAGCCAAAAGCCACAAAGTGCATGTTTCTGAAGAAATACCCTACAACTGAACCAGAGAAGGCTCTAATGTTGAGCCATAGCACGACAGGACATCCAGCTGTGGCGCAATGCAGCACCATCCTAGTATGATTTGGCTGCTACTACTTGGCTGATTTTAGAGATGAAACTTATTGTGATCTTATGTTTCAAAGCGCGTACCTCTAAATAAAACTGTCTAAATAGCAACAAAAGTTGGATTTCTGTAATATAGATTATTTCAGTAAGGTGTGATTTAAAAAAGATGCTTTGTAGCTGTAATCTCCATTTTGTAAACCTAACATTTATGTTTGTACCTCTAAACTTAGATGCCTAAATGTACACGTTTTCTTGTACTTTCTGAACAATCTAAAAGTCCATATTACACACCTGTTTTGCAACTGCATTTTTTCCCCCCAGTCTCCTACACTGGCGACAAAAAAAATTATATTGCTGAGGCCACATTTTCAGTGTGTGTTTATCATGGGTGTGATAGGGATTCTACATCCACACTTGACATATAAAAAGGCAGACAACATCAAATGCTACTATAAAGAAATTTGGCCCAATGGTATGGTTTAACATTGAGAAGTACAAGTTGAATGTTGTGATGTAGGAGTCGCTGAATTAAAAACTTACTGGCTTGCACTGGTTATGTGTGACAATGAATCCACACACCTGTGGATGCTTGTACAATACTGTTGTCTCCAATCAGTCTCAGACCCTCACACAGCTTCTTACATTTGTGTGACACTTATCTGAATGTTGCTGCAAATAAATACATGTACTCCTTAAATAAATAATACATATGTTTTCCTAATGCCAACACATTCCTTCATGAGCTAGAGGGCGAGATGTGTGGACAAAAATAAACAGTTTACTCCCAGTCGCAAAAATGGCGATTTACTCTGCAAGATGCGTTCAATTCCTCATTCATCAAAAGGCGCGTTTCACACAGAAAAAAAAAAGAATAGCGAGTCTTTGAGAGAAAAAAAATGTAAACATATTTTGCTGCATGTGACAATAAAAATGCATTCTATTGCTTGTGTGCAGGTGTGTGGCTGCCTTCCCTATGCGTGCTTTCTCATAGGGTCACTGCACAGCTGCGAAATAAGTGCCTTTGTTTTCATATAGGAGATGAATAATATGGAGCTGGACTGCAGATCTGATCGATAAAAGCGCCATCCATCCCTGCTGTGCTCTCACAGGCGCATGGCTGCTGCCCAAGGAGAAGCGTGTAAACCAATGACAGCCTCGCATTACACCAGTAAATTACGAGTCAAAAAATACGCACGTCTGCTCATTTAACGCCTGTAACATGTGGTTTATTGGCATTCATCTTGTATTTCCACCCATCGCTGTCATCTTGGACGGTGGCAGCCTGAAGAGTCGCGCCGTTCCTGACGGCGATAGTTCACATTTACACGGTTTAATAGAAAATTCGATATTTTGTCAGATTTCGACGGCAATGTGTAGTCTTTTGATAGAAAAATAGGTGGTAGTTATGCAGCCATGAAGAAACACACCGTGAACAAACACCAACGTAAACACACCACGACGCGGAAGGAAGGAAGAAGGAAGGTCCTAGTTAAATCCCCACTCACACAATGCCAGCCCCGACACGACGAGCTGTGCGCGCTTCAGATAAATAAAACCTCACAGACACGACTGAGTAGACGATAGAAACACAAACTCTTTCAGTACAGACAAGAAACGTGGCTTCTGCTCGATGTAAATATAGTCACACATACATATTTACACAGACACACGGGCTGGGCCTCGGTTTGTTTTCCCGTCAGCGCGTCGAGGCCTCGCTGCAGCCGCGGCCCCCAGTGAAGCGACGCATTTGCGCACACGCGCCCCACACACGGCTCGCTCTCTCCGCTGCTGCTCGCTCCTTCTCGATTTTATTAAATCTCTTACCGGGTCCGAGCGCTTCCATGGCCGAGGCCTCTCTCTCCGTCTCTGTCCCGGCCTGGCGGCTCCGTACCGACGCTGAAATTGGGGGCGGTATCGCGAAGCTTAAAGTGGCTAATTTAAGAAAAGGGAATATAGATAGATGCGTGGATGACTGCTGACTGGACCGACTGACCTGAGCTACCGCTGCTGCTGCTTCTGACGATTTGTAACAACGCATGCGCCAGTTAGAAGCCGTTTAACCTGCTGTGCGCATGCGTAATTTTTCTTTACCGCACAAGCAGATGAAACTTCACTGATCCCAGTCAGTAGCGGGACAATAACAGGATACAGTAAAACTGATCATGGACATTTATCATGAATATACATTATGATATAAGACAAGAAAATATAATAAGGTGGGAATGCAAATATATACACGTTACCTGACAACAATTATGTGAAATAAAGCGTATGAATTAATAAAAAGGTTTGGAGAAAAGCAGTAGTGTTCAAATATTTGGGTTGGCCTTGGCAACTGACAATAGGTAAATGAAGTCACAGCATGCATGATTTAGACAGAAAAAAATATGCATATCCCAAGAGGAACTGCCCAGTTATTTCAACAAACTTTGAAAGCTTGGATTCTTTTAATTATTTTATTATTATCATTCTTTTTTTATCTGTTGTTTTCGTTTTGTCAAATGTAACTATTTGTAATGGTTTTCCTTTTTTTAATGCACTTTTATTTGTAACAGACTAGTGGTGTTGATATTTCAATTGAACTAAGACGTCTGAGTAGTACTTATTGTACCATTGAATCAGATACATTAGTTAATCCACTAATGTAAAAATCCTTCATCACAAATAAAAGTCCACTATTCAGTATCTTTCTTAAGTAAAATACATAAGTATCACAAATAAAATGTAGTAGAAAATGAAGTAGAAGTATTAAAATGTAATAAAATGTAGTAGAAGCATTAAAAGTAAAAGTACTTGAGGGGAAACTCATGGCATTGTGTATTGTATTATTGTAGTTATTATATCATTAAATTATTATTACTATCACTGATTTGCATGAATGTGTAACAAGTTTTTCATTGGTATAACTGACTTAGTTCATTTATTTGAAAATCTGACGTGTTTTTGCTTGAGGACAACCAAAAATCACCCTCACTTTCATTCAGAGAAACCCTCAGCCCCGCCTGCCCGAGCACTCCCGGTGTTTAAAATATGCTCCCAACTAGCTGTGGCGTCATACTAGGCGGATGCAAATCTCCGCAAAGGACCAATGGGAAAGCGAGAAGAGGGCGATTGACACCTCGGTGACGAAAAACTGCGGACCAGCTGTCACGGCGCGCGAAAGATCAAAATTTTCTATTCGATGTGTGAGGAACAGGCGGGAGGAAGAGGAACAGAGCGGCTAAAATACTTTCTCAATGTGTTTTAAAAGTCTAAAATAGCCTTTGCCACGCAGACATTTAGTTGTCGACGTCTGTTGTGGCTACCGAGATTCGTCAAAGCGTTGTCTGCGCTGGCTTCCTTTTTATAAAAGAGCGTAAACTAGTCGGCGGACAAAGATGAGCCTGGTCGTTTCTCAACAACAGGTAAGGAAATACTTTCAGATATCACCAACTAATTTGGGTATCTATCTAACGTGAAATTATCAGACTAACACATGTCCTTGTTAGTTATAAGTTATCGTAAAAGTATTCTCAATCGAAGAAATGCTGCACATTGCGGATATTGTTAGCGTTAGCCAGTTAGCCAGCTCGCTAGGTTTAGCGAGCTGGGATGGTAGTTATCGACTTGGCCTGGTCACATCGAGTAAATACATGTTAGTAAGGCATCTTACTTTATTGACCACTTTCAAAATCTTATTTATAATCTAAGGGACTATTCACGGATATCAATGACTTGTGCCAGATAAGTTTGTTTTGACGAAATTGTACCTTTAGCTAACTGCAAGCGGTGAAAGGACGCCATGGCGCTAGCTAACTTCTATGCGTATTGTTTAGTTTATTGCAAGGCGCCACCTAACTTAACAGCCACCTGGCTCCCTAAAGTCACACAATCGATCTCCATCTTTCATGTTAACTTTACACAGCAATACTCTTTTTCAGACTGTTTTGTGACAAAAACAGACACATGCTACACTCTGGTATCCGAGTAGTTATGCGGGGTTTCACAGCTGTGAGCGGTTGCAGTGAGCTACTTTTATCATGAAATCAATACGCAATACCCGTGGCTTTCTTGAAAGTACAGATTTAGACATTGCAAAATGAAAACCTGTATTTGTAAGTTTATGCCTTTAGAAGATTATAAATGTATTACATTGACTGTGGAGCCATATCAAAGTACAGTGCAGTGCCCCCATATTACAGAAAATACTCCGCATGGTGGTTGAAACGTTTTTGGATTATTGTACCTAGGCTGATGAGCTCCCAGCTGTGGCCCAAACAGCAGCAGAGAGTGATTCAGACAGCGGGGTGGGCTCTCCAGCAGAGGAGATGGTCCCGGAGACAACCAACAAAAGAGAAGAGCTTCCAGGTGAAGTAACACAACAATTGATGATGATTCAGATTCAACCTGAGACAGGGCAGCGCCATGTTGGCTGTTTAAATGAGGGATCCATTCAGGTTAATGTCTGTGAGATTTGAGTAAACTTGTTTCATTTATATTATACAGTTGAGGTGTTTTATTGGCGACTTAATCAAAAAGTTTACAATAAGTAGTAGTCAGTCACATAACAATTTGAATGGTATCCTATGATCCACAATATTCAGCTAAAGACAAAATCTGCCTGTGCCATTTCTATAATATAATAAAATGCTGCAATTAAAGAGCATATGTGCATATTCAGGGATATTAAGAATGCTTATATTATTATTTCTCCTCACAAAAAATGATGATGACCATTGTGCTATGTGACTGTTTCTAAATTGTTATTTCGCCTCCAGATTCTGATGAGGATGAAGACATCACGGCTCACAGAAAACCTCGCCGTAATGCCATTAGAGACAGTGACAGCGAAGAGGAGGCAGCTGCAGAGAACAGTGTCCACATGGCTCAAGCGCTGGTCTTATCTGCTTCCAGCGGAGAGGAGATGGAGACGGGAGAAGCAGAAGAGAAGAATGAGAGGCAAGAGAAAGGGCCGCTGAAGAGCAAGAGAATAAGCCGTGCACCGATTGACAGCGAAAGCAGTGAGCCTGAGCAAGGGAAAAGTGGGGAAATGGAGGAGCAACAGGAGGAGGTGAAAGGGGAAGCAAAATCAAAGGAACGGAAGAAGAGAGAGAAGAGCCAGAGGCATCGGGAGAAAAAGGAGAAACGTAGCAAAGCGGTGGAAAAGCTGAAGAAGAAAGAGAGGTTCTCTGAAATGAATGAGGTAAGCGGAGCTTGGTCTTTTCTCTCTGTACTTTTTTCTTCTGCTTCTGAGCTTTTTTTATGTGTGTTCCTACACATGGATTTTATTGTATAATATGAAGACAACTTTACCTATTTCCTCAGGACACACCGCTGCCTCAGTCTCTGAATGACAGTGGGTGTCCACTGGGTGACACAGACCTGTTTGACACTGGTCTGGATGATGAGGAGGAAGAGGAAGAAGAGTCTCTGGATGCCATCCGAGCTGCAGTCAAGCACAAGATGAAGAAACATAAGGTACAGAAAAGATGGCTATTTGCTACTGGAATGGTTCAATCAAGACTTCAACATTATTTCTTGTGATTTAAGTTATTGTTTGTTTTCTTTCTTTCTTTCTTTCTTTCTTTCTTTCTTTAGAATTAAAACCACCATTGTGTTTATATATAAAAGGCTTAAACTGTTTCCTTTTGGTTCTTTTGGTTCTTTCACTGTTCTCATCTGATTGTTGAACAAAATACTTGTAACAGAATTTATTAAAGTTAATGAAGTTTTTGAAAAATGTTTTGTTGAGAAGACTGAGACAGTGTTAGGCCTGGGATTTTGCGGATGTTGTCTAGACAGACCATTGTGTAATCAGTGTTAAATATTTCTGCAGGAACCTCTCTTGAATGAAGACGAAGAAGATGATGAGGAGGCACCAGAGAGACCGCAGCGTGTGGTATGCGGTGCCAAATAGCTTGAATTTATTCTAAACACTGTAAAATTAATACCAAATACTAATAAGTGGTAAAAATATATGTGATGTTTTCAGGAGAGGAAAGCTGCACGTGCCAGCAAAGAGGCAATGAAACAACTCCACAGTGAGTCTCAGAGGCTGGTCAGAGGTCAGTTTACAACAGACACTTCTATTGTCTCTTTATCTGTTTTTGCAGTGTGTTAACTGCTACTTTTTCTTATTTGGTTCTGCCCGTTAAACCTCAAGATTTTTTATTTTTGGATCATAATATTAAATGTAAGGTTCACATTTTAAAAGAGGTGCCTCATGTCTTCCATGCTACCGAGACTGCATCTTTGACATGTACTTCTGTCTTTGTAGAGTCCACACTCGGCCTGCCCTACCACATCCCTGAGCCCAAGACCATTGACCAGTTCTTTAAGAAGAGAGCCAGGCCGGACGGTCCTGCCATGGCACTGTTGAAGTAAAGACAAACATAACAGATAACGCACATACACCAGGGCAGAAACTAGCGACACTAACCAAAAATTACTATCTGTTGTCACAATTTTACCAGTCAAATCAGTTTTTATAATAGAATGGCTACTTAGAAACATCAGCATTTAGTTGTTGGACAAGTCTAAGTTGGCATGAACAATTTTCACACTTTCTGTGTCATAAACACTCACTCAAAATTCAATCAAGTTAATTCCAATCTTGTTCTCTTCAGATCTACAAAGTACTCTGCCATGATGTTGGAGACACCATCAGCTCCTCCACCCCCTGTAAACCCATCCAGTGAGCCCCAACAGCCATCCACAGAGCAGGACTCTTCTCCGTCTCTGGATCACCCATGTGCACAGATCCAGCCCTTACCACATCCTGCCGCCACCTCATCCCCACAGAAGGAGAGCCTCAACCAGGCCGGAGAAGCAACTGCAAGCCTAGACTCCAACCAGGAATCTGGTCCGATGCTTTACCTCTCTGAGAGTCTGCAGGAGTCAGTCACAGCAGATGTATTAGTAAAAACTGCTTCTGACTCTGAGGAGGAAACCTCTGCTGCCCCCTTAGAGCAAAGCCAGACTGCAGTAATGTCTGACTCTGTAGCCCTGCAAAAAGAGCCCGTGTCCGCTCAGTGTGGGAGCACTGATTCAGCTGCAGCAGAGGCTTCAGTTCACCAAACCACCAAGCCCAAGAAGGACAAACTGGCCAGACTGAAGGAGCTTGGGCTGCACCCCCCACCTGTTGCTAAATTGTGTCCAGACGATGGAGCCTTTGTTCAGCTCGAGCCTCAACAGCTCAACCCTGGTGAGTCATGATTCTCTTAAGATTTCAAGACACGAAGAATGAGAATGTGTCATGAGTTTGAATAACCTCGGTATTCCCGCTCTTCTTCAACCAGGTGTGGTGGCCCTGAGGGAGCGTTACCTTCGTCATGTCCAGGCCCCCGTAAGGCCCCAAGGAGAGCGCACAATGCAGCTCAACATCATCCGCAAAGACAGCACCCCGTCTGGCCAGGAAGAGTTGCACACGGAGTCGGTCACTGTCACTGTTAAGGAGGGGGTAGATGAGCCAGTGCCCACCAAACCTGGTAAGGATACATGTGTGACATGTACTTAAAGGCCAGGATTTAAACTGGTCCTAAGACAGGGGGAACCAGATTGTTGACCATCCCTCCCCCAAAGGAGGGATGGTCCAGATCAACCGATATGGACAGGAGGGTACACAAGCTTTGACTGGGAAATTGAGATGCATTTTCTTCTTACCTCACAAGCCTCCTCTGGTCTTTTGTCTAGGAGAGAAGCTGCTGACTCTGAAGCAGCGTCTGCAACTCGCCATGGCCCAACGGAGAAAGGAGGAGCGGGCACGCAGGGCCGAGCTGATTCGCCTTGACAATGAAAACTGTGGAGAGGAAGAAGAGGAGGAGGAAGAACTGACAGATGAGTCAGATGAAGAAGAGGTGAGATGATGTGTTTGATTCTCGCTGTTCTGAGACGATCAAATTACTTGATACAGATTTGTGCTTTTGTCTGTTTTGTACTCACGTCAAGTCCAATCTTCTTTTCTCCCAGGGTGTAGACGACCTACTGGGAGGTGGGGAGGAAGGAAAGGAGGATGAGGCAGAAGAGGAGGAAGGCAGTGTAGCTCAGAGTATCAGGAGCCCTTCTCCCGTGGCACTGACTGGACCCTCGCCAACTCCTGACCTTGTTAACACAGATGGCACACTCATGCTGTTCCCCGGCAACTCCTGCTCTCGCACTGGGTGAGTGTGTTTGGAGTTTGTGGTTGTGTGTATCTGACTTTGTAAGTCACTGTAGAGCATGCACCTTTTTAAAATCATACTGATAAAACTGCCTTAATTGATAAATTGTGAGCGTGGCTTTTATCGCCTTGCCTGCATGTTTACGTTATATATTCTCTATGTGGTGAAGCTTCACATGTACTATTTTCCATTTTAGCGATGGTGTAAGAAGGTCTGGTCCCTCTGGGCAGGACAGCAGTAATAAAATGGGTGAGTAGAGCGAGGGAACTCAGTTCTGTTAATCTTCACTTCATACACTCAAAACAGACTAATGTATAGTTATTATTGACTATTGATGACAGAAAATTCTTTGAACACAGTGATTTTATTCACACTCCTCATCTTGTCACTCTCTTACCGCTCTCGTCTCCAGAAGAGGACGACTCTCTGTCCCTGGTGAAGGACAACAGCCACAACAGCAGCTTTGAGCTCGCAGGATCCATGATTACCTCTTACCAGCCTGTCAATCATCAGCGCTCCACAGGAAGAGGTGTCTCCAACTCCTCCATGTTCCGCTCCCCTTCTCCCTGCCTCTTCAGGCCCAGCTTCCTCGGCTCGGCCTCTAAGGTAAGATAAAAGGTTTTTTCAGTTTGTTTGATACTTAGAGCATTAAAATGATATCATCAGGGGTTTGAATTCACCCAAACCAGGGTTAAACAAATGTGGTCACTTCAGCCAGAATTATAAGGCACACAGAAAGTACACTTATTATAAAGGGCTACACAATTTAAGTGTCACAATTTATTTGTTTGATCATTAAAAAAATAAAATCATCATAAAAGATACGATATGCGCACAGACATTTCAATGCAAATATATTGACGCTCTTACACCTACATACTCGCATTCCCTTGAATTAAAAATAAATGAGCTTGTGTAGGTGAGGCAGGAAGCTCATAAAAACAGAAGGAAAGATAAGCAGGATTACATTAGATAAAAATAAGGGAATGCAACTACAAAACACAGAAAATTAAATGAAGATGCTTCTTTCAGCATTTGTACCATATTCTTTGCTTCAGAATCGTGTCTTAATGTTTCTTCTCTTTTTTTTCCCATCAGAGTTCAGGAAAACTCTCCGAGCCCTCTCTCTGCCTCCCTGTTGAGGACTCCCAAGACCTCTACGCGCCTCCATCCCCAGGTGCTGACTCAGGGCCCCTGGGTGGAGCGGCTTCTGGCCCTGGCCTGGGAGGAGACTCCCAAGGTCGCTTCTCCTTGGAGGACGACGCCCATTCCCAGTTACTCGATGCGGACGGCTTCCTTAACGTGGGGCCTCGCCCCGGTGCGCCTCGCTCCCACAAGAGACAGTTAATCCTGGACAGCCTGGATGAAAATGCAATGGATGCCAACATGGGGGAGCTGTTAGGGTTGTGCTCGGGTGTTTTCGGGACAGCAGAGAGCGGCTCCAGTCGGGGCGGAGGCCTTGGATCAACACAGGAGGATGAGCTGCTTGGGTTGTGCTCTGGAGCGTTTCCACCAACACAAGCAGGAGAGGAGCTGACAGAAACCGACAAGAGTAAAGAGGGAGGACGGGATGAAGAGTCTGACAACACCATGGATCAGCTGCTGGGGCTGTGCTCGGGAAAATTTCCTAGTCCAGGTAAAGGAGGGTGTTGTCTAGGGGAGCACATGTACAGAATTAACATGCACCATATTTAATTTTAAAGAATCTCAGGTAAAGTAGCCTCCACTGCACTAAATCCACCTTCGGACTGGTTGTTAAAACTGGAAACATCTCAACATGTTGGGCTTTCTGTTTTTAAGTCCTTTACAACTTCATACACATTTGTGGTTTTAAAATATTCAGAGCATCTGTTTTTAAGTTGTTTTCTTTCCAGTTTCACAATATTTATTTAGATTTGTTTCCTTTGTCGTCGATTTTAGGTTCTGCTCACACAACTTCACCAGCACAAGAAAGGTACAGTACAAAAATCTGATAAAAATCTAACATCAGTAATCAGTTGGGATTTGATTGTTCATTGTTCTGTGGATATGTAACCCATCTGTAAAAGTTTTCCTTTTGTGATTCTTAATGAAACTGCTCTTGTTTCTTTTTTAACTCATTGCCTCAATTCCTTTTGATAAAGGATTAAAGGAATATTGAAATGCAATATAAAATTCTCATAGTGATTTCTCTCTATAAAGTAAAAAGAAGAAAGAGGAGGAAGAGCAGCAGCAGCAGCAGGAGGAGGAGGAGGAGGAGGAAGAGGAAGAGGACTGCGAGTTCCGGCTCCTGTCAGATGTAGAGAGTGAGAAGGTAAAGTCTGAAAACGCAAACACACATGCACATTAATGTCCTTGTTATGATTTGGTTTCTAATGCAACTGACAAAAATTGTGGCTTTATAGGAGGACGATGATGAAGATGGTGTGGAGGAGAACGAGGAGCACCAAGATGGAGGGGAAGAGTCTGAAGCTGGTGAGGAAGAGCTCAATGATGTAGAGGAGGAAGAGATGCAGGGTGTGTTTGCGCCACACCGGGTCAAGAAAAAGAAGAAAATGTAAGTAAATCAAATCAAACACCCTTCATGTAACACTGCAGAATTAAATTTCCACTGTAGAAATAATCCACACTGCAGCACAGGTTTTTATTCACTTCTTGCATCTTGTTCACAGGCGTCTGGCTGACTACCTGGAATCAGAGGCTGAGCTGTCGGGGAGTGACATGGGCAGCGACGACGAGGACGATGACAGAGGGAGCGAATACGAGGAAGAGGAGCTTCTTGAAGAGCTTCCCTCGGATGAAGAGCTGCAGGACCAGGTCAACAAGATCCACATGTGAGTAGCGGCTGCTTTTACACCACGTTTGTCATCTAATTTCAGTATAATTCAGTGAACTGTGGTAGTTATTCTCATAGCTGAAATACGCTTCTATCTTTTGGCAAAGATTCACTAATGCAAGTACAAAGGGAGCCACTGTTGATAAGCTTGTTCCAGTTTTCCTCTACTGTTGCTCTAAACCAAAGAGGAAGCCTTCAAGGAAAAACCTGTGTCTGGATTATTTATATGCGTAATTGTTTTTAAACTGGCAGATGAAAGTTTTAAAATGCATCTGTTGTTTTTACAGGAAGCAGATAATGGATGATGACAAGCGTCGTCTGAGGCTCTACCAGGAGCGCTACCTCGCTGATGGCGACCTGCACTCTGACGGCCCGGGACGAGCTCGTCGCTTCCGCTGGAAAAACATTGGTGAGTTTACGGGATGAGGGAATGAATACCCTTAGATACCATGTGCTCCAATTCGTTTTGAATTTGGTTGGATTTATGACAGTAGTTGTTTAAGGACGACATATTTCTGTTGGGCCAAGAACACCTCAGATTCTTAGCTATTTAAAGTTTTACATGTTTTTTGCATTTGTATTTTACATATTAATTGATTTCAAACTCAGTACAAATGTATTGTATTTAACTGCTTGCCACACAGATCAACACACACACACACAAAGAGACAGAAAAAGAAAGAAAATCATTGTAAATCACAAAACAATGAAAGGCTCTGAGCAAAAAAAATGATATGGAATTGTTAATACATAATAAATACAAACCAAATAGCTAACTATAATAAGATAATAAACTAACGAAAAATATGTCTAAAAGTCTGGAAATAAAACGTCTCTGTGTCATTGCATTCGGTCATTTAGAGTTTCTTCTTGAATCTTTCCTCCAGATGATGGTTTCAACATGGAGAGGACGGGAGCGGAGGGTGAGGAACAGGAGGAGGAAGACGAAGATGTCGACCAGAGTGAGATCCAGAGGAGGAAAGAGAGACTGGAGAGAGAACAGTGGCTCAGAGAACAAGTATGTCGCACTGTTTGTTAATTTGTGTTTGCGAGTATTAAGAGTCCTGCACACAGATACTTGAGGAACCATTCATTTAAAAAAAAAGAAATACATTTGCAGTATTGACTAGTGATTTCAAATTACTACATTTTGTAAATTCACTACAGTTTTAAAAGCCATTTAGCCCAGTAAGGGATATACATGCTAAAATCAAGCTGCAGGACGTCAAGGGGGTGTTGTTGTTGTTTTGTCTTCATTCCTTTCTGTGTGTCTCCTCTCACAGTCCGAACAGAAAGCCAAGAAAGGGGAAGATCTGGATGCAGACGATGAGAGGATTGGAGAGGAAGACAGTCATTTCATGAAGCTGGCCAAGAAACTGACTGCCAAGACTCTGCAGAGAAAAGGTCGGTTTGATACGAGGCCTCACAAGAAGAATCCCGTGGCCCTCAAAACACCCAGACAATGTTTTGGTCCAGGATAGCTACAGAAATAGCTTTCTATAGCTGACAGCAAAAAACACGATCACTTTTAAACTCTGGACCCAGGAACAACCAGAAGGGAATCACTTGAGGATTTCAGGGAACAAGGGTTGAAAAGTCAGTGCTGTGACTTAAGTCAGGCCACTGAGGCTTTAAAAGTTGTAAGAAATTTAAAATGAACTCAATTGAAAGCCAAAGCAGGATCCCAAGGATTTGTGAAATATACTATTATCTTGTTTTTTTAGTTCCAGTTAAAATCCTGGCTGCAGAATGTTTTAACAAGTTAGGTAACGAAAACTCTTCTTACTACTAATATCAGTCAACGTGGTGTTACATTTTATTACATTAACAGATTTTTACCAGAGAGAAAGGGTCTCATCTTAGAGATGCTCCAGAGATTTGGTTTGTGATCTTTTTGATCAGTTGAGAGGGTCAAAACTTCAACTGATTTGCTGCAGCCCTGTGGAAAGAACGCAGAGCTGCACACACGCAGATTGTGCCAAAACACTGGCACGAGTAGACTACACCGGACACAAACAGGAAACTGCTGCCAGTACTGGCATTGCTAAATGTCATGTTACTTCAGAGTTTGTTTCTGGAAAGTTCTGGCATTTTTGTGTTCCCAGAATCAAAGAAATACATAAATTGCTTTTCCCAGCAAACTAAACTAAACCAGACACAGACAGGAAACTGCTGCCAATTCTGTCACTGCTAAATGTCAAGTTAATTTCACAGTTTGTGTCTGGATATCTGTGACATTCTTGTTTTCCCAGGAGAAAGCAAAACGGATAAACTGGGTGGCTACATGTGATATTCAGGAGGTTCAGATACTGATAACTTCATATCTTCAGATACAGACGACAAAGTTGGCTCATTTATCAGTTTTAAAGAGTGTTTTAGGTATTTGCACCGCTCTGTACAAGTTAACTAAAGACATGAATGTGCCTTTTTTTTAACCATTATTAATCAGAGTTTCTGATTAATAATAATCATGCAACACATTTCAAAGCAAAGAAAACAATGCTGTATGTGGGTGAATAAAGATCGGGTGATTTGACTAGAGGGGTCTCTTTTCCCTCAGATTATTTCACTAATTGATTTCCACAATTTTTAAAGCAGAGCCCCCCGTGGCACCACAGCCAGAACAGAAGACATCATCGGCTCTCAATCCCTTCCAGAGACCCTCACAGCCCTTACAGGTAAGTCACTGTTGATGTAAGAGGCAGAAACTGCTTGTTATTTTAAAAGTGGACTTTGATTTTATTTGCTTTAAATGCTGCCATTCTTGGTTGCTATCATTCATTTGTACAACTGCTTATAAGGAATTTCTCATTCCATTGCTCTGGAGTCCGATTGCAAAAAGCTTTTAATGTGAAAGGTAGCTCTTGTGTAACTTTTTTTTGTTTTTGCGAGCGGGAGGCATATGACTTTATAAAGATAGTATTACTTCATCACTTGTTGCCTGAGGCCGTTTTTCTGGCTTTTATTCTGATAAAATATATTTTTTCACTCGGGTCGCTACAGCTACTATTACTTTCATCATTTGGAATTTGTGCTAAGGGTGTAACACTGTGGCGAGTCTGATTCTGTAAGTGAGAGGCTTGTTTGCAGCTGTGAGGGACAGGACACTGTGGCTGGCAGACTATAAAATAGATTTTATGTCCTGTACTTAATGTTCCTAAATAAAAACCTCAAATGAAAAGGCTTCAAAATGCTGCAGAATGAGAGGTGTGAGCGTATGTTGGTGATTGGCTTCGTATGATTAATCAGCATAGTTCATTACTGAATGTCTTTGATCTGAACAAGGTCGATGTAAGATGTATGTTTTATTGATTTCTTCCAGGTGAGGAGAGGTTCACTACTGAGTCAGCCTCACTCCGTCCTGCAGAAACTGGCTTCAATCTCAGAGGGGAATCCTCTGGCGCCCAGAAACAGCCGTGGATTCTTGTTTCAGACTCTCTCTCCTGAGAAGGACAACGCCACCTCAAAGGCTCCTCAGAACCAGGCAAGTGAGACGACTGAAAGGATAGAAATAGTAACACACAGGAAAACAGATGTTCTCACACAGATAAATGACCACGTGTGGTCCAAACCGAGAACAGTTCACAGAAAACAGTAACCAACAACAGAAGTGGGCTGTTCCATGGAGTGTTTATGTTGTAATAACTCATCAAGAAGTTGGTTAGAAGTAAAGCTTAACTCTTTTGTTGTGAACTTCTCACTTAAGGTCAAAGGAAGAATCTTTTTGGAGCAACTACTTTGATAATCAAGTCATCGTTTAGTCATTTTAAAATGAAAAAAAGTTGTAGAATTTTATTTCAATAACCATTGTTTAATTTAACTGCTATACTTTAATCCTCCTGATGAAAATTCCCTCTGCCGACTGTGTCTGTTTGTGTCGCTCCTGCAAGATGTTGCTGTGCTAAAATAAGCACAAAAACAAACCTCATAGAGAGACTTCAGTGTGATAGTCATGTGAATGTGATGGGTGAATTTATTGTGTCTGATGTATTCTAAATATGACACTAGGTGGCGCCAAAGCCCACTGCTCCTGTTAGATCCTATTATGTAGAGATGGCAAGAAAAAAACTGTGTTGCTTGACAGTTTTTCTGAACATCCTTCATTGAAAGAGCTGCAAGTAAAAATAGAGTTAAAACTTCATTTTACTGCTATTTTTGAAAGTGATATGGCAGGTTATACAGCTGTAAATTTAACAGAGAGACTGGACAGAGAATGATCTTTCACTTTCAACTTGCACTGATTGATTTTGTCTGATTTGTTCGTCAGATTGTTTTGTGTGTTTTGTGAAAAAGGCTTTAACTTTGCATGTGTATGATCCTCAGATGATGAAGAAGAGGAGGCAGGTGGAGGCTGTGAACCCAGCAGCCAAGAGGGTCTGCGGGGAGAACAAAACTGCTGGACAGACTAAAGGCCTCCAGAGGAGCATCTTCAACTTCCTGGACCATTGAGGATGCAGTACACTAAGTCAATGATAATCTACAGCTAAGCTGGTAAGGGCCAGAACTTAGGAGCCACATCCAGCTATTTCCCCAGCCAGTGACACTTGGAAATTAGATATGGTCATGTGTGTGTTTACATGTTTACATTGCCTTAAAATGGCAAACTAAAGAACACCAGTGAAGCATCTTTTCATGTTTCACTTGGTGAACTTTGTCTTACACACACTCCATTAGCAGCGTTGATCTGTCACATCGTATTCAACTTAAACTGATTTATGTTTGTCCATTTAAATAGTTTTATTGTGTAAATAGGAATGGGTTTTTTTTTTTTAGTTTTTAATAATTAGGGATTTTTTATATGATGATTTAAATGTATTTGTTTTACAGTGTAAATAAAAGTGTATTTTAAGACATTGCTCCGTCTGCTTCTGTCTGCCCTGCTTGGGCTGGATGTTGCCAGTCACAGAGCGGTTACAGTAAACAGGTTTAAAACAAATATGATACGTATTCAGTGTGTTATTTCCTTTACGTGGCTTAAATTCTTGTTGTGAAATTATGTGGCCAGGGAGTGTTGTCACAATGGGCTTCAATCAGGTAGTCATACAATTAAAAGGGCAATTAAAATCACACGGTTTTTGTCTATATGATAACTCAACCTGAAAGTCGAGTAATTATTTTTTTAAATATCTTTTTTACCCAAATGAACAATACATGAACTTGTTTAGCTTGGAGGGAATTTAAAACACAAGAAACAATTTGAACAATACGGCGAGCGGTTTTACATAAAGTACAGCAAATGAATGAGGCCATCTGTAAAGCTTGAGATACAGAGACGCAGCTTGCATATGAGCGGACAGCTGAATGCACAACAGCACTGTCAAAAACCTCACTGTTCTCGTCATGCTGAGGATTTAATTGGAAATGATATGGGGTTACAGATGTATCCGATGAAATTTGGCATGTCAAATTAGATAAAACCCCTATTATAAGAGGCTTCCAACTTCTAACCTTATAACCCTATTAATAGACTTTAAGGCATTCGGGATCTTGCAAGTAGATGGTGAAGCAGCTGTTAGAAATCACTATTTGTATTTTTTTTCTTTTTTAGAATGACGTGGGTTTTCATTAACTACAATATTACACATTTGCATGGACAATATTTCTGTTTAGCTGTTTAGTTCAGTGTTGGATCTAAAACTGGAAAGGTGGGTTTAAGGCTGGATAAGTTGCTAATGTCATTTGTAGGATTTACATTATTTCAATGTGTTTCTGAAAAAAACAAAACATGTCAGTGTGTCAGAATTCTTTTATGTAGGGAGGAAATGAGTTGCAAACATTATTTGCTCCGTTATTACTTGTTGCTTCTTGGTATATAGAAATTGCATTAACATACTTTCTGTTTTCCTAACCACTCTTGGATGCTACCCTTCCCTAAATATACTGTATGTACTCGCCAGGCCTCTTGTGGAGAAGACAGTCCTCATCTCATCCTAGACTACCATTCATTTCCTCTACAGTAATCCCACTTCTGCTCACAACAGAGGCTGCGTGAAACCAGCACAAAAGACTAAAGATGACTTCCGTGTGTGGTTGTTTGTGGAAAGAAAATTAGACTATTTGACTTCAACGGTTGGGGAATCTTTTAAACAATTAAATCCACTTAAACAGATTCCACCTCACAGGGGAATGTTAAATTAAAAAGCTCCACTTCTCCACCTGTCCTTTCCTGAAAATCCTCACACTTCCTTTGACTCTTTATTTCACTTTTTCTTCCAGGTTTGAAGTATAATTGCAGTTTAGAGACTAATGATTTGGTAAGTGGCTAATAATAGGCCGACATTAAAGGGAGGGTCTTCTAACGAGGCCTTTCATGTCTCTCCATCTCATTAGTAGCCACGGTGATTAGGAGGAGGTCCCGGGGTTAGGAACGGGCGCAGGAGGCCCCATTACACATCATTAGGGGCCAACGCCAGGAGGGTCTGGAATGAACCCCATGGTGGGGCCCTGCTTATGGCGAGCTGTTGTACCTGCAGGCAGACAGGCTTAATCCTGGTGGAGTTAAAGCAGTGATTACATTTTTACCTTTGTCAACGAGGTTCTGTTGCGTTTGTTTGTCAGAGTGGAAAGTCTGGAGCACATGGCTGGATTTCTGAAAAATCTGTAAGGGCCAAGAGGCTTCACGCAGAGGAGCAATTTAACAGAATTTGTTGCGGAGCTAAATCTATCATTACTTTTGAGCCATTACAATGCAATTAATCGAGATAAAGACTACTTCAAATCCCAAGGCTGTGTTTGCAGGGTCAAGAGATCATTTCTAATTAGAATTTAATAGGAATTATTATGTCTTTGCAAGTTGAGGAGTAAATTTGAGCTTTGGCAGTCCCTATCTCTCTGCATCAACAGCATACCCACTACTCCAAAGTGAATTTCACAACTTTGTTTAACCTCCAAGAGGGAATTACAAGGTCAACACAATAAAGCCAACCCCCCCCCCCCCCCCCCCCCATTTCACTCCACACTTGGAAAAGGAGGAAGGTTACATGTTTTGGCATTGAGGCCCGGCTTCTAAATATCTAGAGGACACGGATCTGGCTTTATTCAGATTATGAGGAGGAGAGAGGGCAGAGGGTGGAATAATTGAAGAGAAACATGAGCTGTAGCACCCAAGGGTGTGTTCGCTTGTGTCATGACGTATGCACTGTACGTGTGTGTCTACTCACATCTATGCCTAAAATAAAAGTGTATAATTAGTGTGCAAAGCGACCCCTCGTGCTGGATTAGTGGTTCAATTTAGCACGTCTTGGCTGATTTGGATGATTTTGTAAGAGCACTGGCTGTGAGCTCGAGGTCCAGCAGGCCTCTCTTTACAGTCTCTGTGCATCTCAGCACCAAGGATCTGACAAGAGTAGCCCATGGGTGCTGCTGGCCGCCCTCGGCCACTGTCACAGCCGAGACTGGTGCTGGAGCAGATGTGGAGCTGAACTGAGGGAAGTGGGTCATGGCGCTGGAGGCTGTGTACAATTCAAACAAGGTCTTATTATGCACAAGGTAAGTCATGCTCCTTTTTTACTCTTTTCATGTGTATGTGTGTGTGTGTGTGTGTGTGTGTGTGTGTGTGTGTGTGTGTCAAAGGGAGGGAGGGTGGCTGGTGTTAACATTACAATAATCTTTCTTCCCTCAGGAGGCCTCACAGATGACCCTCAGTCCTCCGAGTTCATTCTATCTCTCCTTCTATCAGTGTCCTCTGTAGTTGTCTTTTGTAACTTGTGTTTTTCATTTTATTTTTTAGAGAGAGATGGAGGGAGAGATGATTTTGCGTGTGACGAGGCCTTGGGCGGACGGCTGTGTTTGATGTATTTTTTATGTGCTTAGGCTACTAGTGAACGGCGGGGGGAGGGAGGGAGAGAGAGGGAGGGAGGGAGGGAGGATGCCTGGAGCTGATGCACTTGAATGGGGATGTTGTTGAAGGAGAAGAGGAGGGAGAGTGTGTGTGTGTGTGTGTGTGTGTGTGTGTGTTGTGGTGTGGGGGGGGGGGGGGGGGGGGCATTGAGGTTTTCTTGCTGCCGCCAGCGACGACATGTCAGGGGGATGAGAGCAGGGAAGAGAGAGACAGTGAACACTTGTTAAGTCTGTCTGATGTAGCCTCCCTATACCACACACACACACACACACACACACACACACACACACACACACACACACACACACACACACACACACACACCTCCAGAAAACACATCTTCATGCACACGCACACACACTAACACACGCACTCTCTCACACACACATTCAACTGCCATGCCCGTTGATCTGAAATTGACAATCATGAAAGCAGCCAGTCACCAGTTTGGAGAGATATCACACTGCAACAAATCCCGCAGTCTTTCCTTTGCAGAAGCTGGAAATATGACGTCGCCTGTCATTGTTGCATTGTGGGTAACACTTTGGACGCCTTAAACACACCTGTAACTGTTGACATCTTGTGGTGTTGTGATGAATTTTGAAAAAAAACAAACATCCTCAGACACTGATGCAGGATGGTGTGTTCAATGCCTGACTGGAAGTGTTGGAATTTACTCTTCTGCTTCAAATTCAAGTAACACTTTCCTCCATTTCCCAGCAGGCACAACCTTCTTATTGCATTCAATAAAAAGAATGTGAGGAGAGAAAAATGAACTGTAAAAACACATGTAAAAGGAACAGATGATGTTTTTTTCCCACAGAGTGAATGAGAGTTTTGTCTTTTCATTCAAATCACAGCTGTAGGGAAGCTCTGTAGCCTGTTTCTCCTATGATGGAATTTCCCCGTGTACGGTTGTTAAAAAAAACACTGACTGACTATAAATATTAAGTCTTTCCAAACGTGGGACCAAAATCTTTTTAGTTTTGAAGTTATAGAGAGCAAAGGAAAAACTCCAACATCTTTGCCTTAGCTGGAAACATCTAAATATTATATCACATCATATAAAAGGAAGGATCAAACAACAAAAAGAAGCTGCTATTGCGAACTGCATTGGCTTTGAAGAGAGAATTTTAGTTTATTTTCAGGCATTTCCATGTGAAACTGCAGCTAGGTCTCAAACTTTAAAGTCCCCCTCCACCCAAAAAAAGTGTTTTGCTTGTTGTTATTTTGATGTTTGAGCCCAGCTGTAGTGAATCGTGTATGATCAGTTTGTTTTAGCATTCACCTGCTAAGGCGGTGAGGTTTCTCTATCCGCTCCTTCAAATCCCACGGTGAAACATGTATGTACAACATGATCGCACCGAACCATGGATTCATGCTGTCGAGGCCAAATTCCAACCCTACCATCTGCTGCCTCAGCAGAAATCCAGATCACTCAGACAAGGCTACACTTGTTTTTATTATATTATATTATTAACCGTCCAGTCTTAGTGAGTCTGAGTCAACTGCAGCCTCAGATTTCTGGGCTTCACTGACAGGAGGGGAGCCTGATGTGGTCTTCTGTTGTTGTAGCCTTTCTCTCAGCTCCAACCAGTCTGACCTCTCATCAACGAGGTGGATTTTTTAATTTATTTTTTATTTTTCACACAATTCAGAGTAAAAACTCAAAGAGATTGTTGTGTGTGTGTAAATCCAATAAGATCATCAGTACAGGTATGTTTGTTTTTTTAAGATAAAACACACAACACACACAAGACTTGAACATAAGATAAATAGAAAAATTAAATGTATTTATTTATATATTTTGTTATGTTTTATTCTACAGTTTTTACTCAGAATTGTGTGAAAAATAAAAAATAAAACATCCAGTGAGCAGCAGTTCAGTGGAGGGAAACACCTCATTGATGAGAGGTCAGACTGGTTGGAGCTGAGAGAAAGGCTACAACAACAGAAGACCACGTCAGGCTCCCCTCCTGTCTGTCAAGACCAGAAATCTGAGGCTGCAGTGGACTCAGGCTCACTAAGACTGGACGGTTAATAATATAATATAATAAAAACATGTCGCTAAACCCACTATACGCAAGCTCATCACATAAAATACAGCAACGATGGGGTTAAAACTGGACTCAATTTGGATTAGAATAGGTGGGTTGGTTGATAAACAAACACATGCACATCTTTTTGTCAAGAAACCAAAATAAAAATAAATAAATAAATAATAAAAAAAGATTTCTGCCTCCCAAGGCTTTCCAAATCTGTCAAACTCTCCCATTGAGCCCAAATGACCTGTCAATTACAGAGGATTCAAACAGGTTTCAGAACTAGATAATATGTAATTAAAACTAGGCTATGTAATAAAAACTTCCTTTTGTGTCTTAAATCATGATTCTAACACAGAAACACTGTAAGCTTAGTGGGCATATTTTTTGCAGTAGGTCTGAATGAACAGGAACTGTGACCTTGTAATGAGGTGAACACTGTGCATCATGTTGCTGATGGGGTCGTGGTACACAAAGTATATATAGGCTTCTTGTTGTATGGCTTGTTGCTGCACATTCAAACCTGCATTAGAGTAAAAATACAAAGGCATCGCAGTAGCATGACAGTCATCTATGTCCTCACATTGTTTCTACTCATTCTCCATGGTTTCCCTCTTCCTCGAGTCCCAGCCCAGTTTAGGAAGTGATATTAGTCAGCCAGTCCTTTCCCAGAACCACAGTGGCAAGGAGCGGACGGGAGGAGGAGGAGGAGGAGGAGGAGAGAGGAAGAGGAAGATAAACATCACATAGGAGGGTCGGAGGAGGGGGGAAAAAATTGGGAGGGCACAGCGTCCAGCTTCTCCAGCGACCAGCAAAGCAGCAATAAAAAGAGGTAAGAACAGACGTAACCTCATGCAAATAGATTCACACGGGTCCGTGTCAGTCATTTGACTTATGCAATCGGCAAATAGGAGATGAAAGGCCGGGTCTGAGGTTGTTTTTACAGAGAAGGGATAGAGAGGAGACAGCACTGATATGGGGTGAGCGTTACATAACGCAGCGGAGATGAAATATTCCTCTTCTTCTCCGTATTTATCTGATTTGATCATGTTTAGAGTAAATATTGAGTTGTTTTTTAACCTTAGTCGCCGGCTGTGTGTGAATTATGATGTGAAACGGTCGTGTTTTGAGTTGTTTTGATTTTTTTTTAACGTATTCATCACTGAGCCGTAAACATGCAGCCACTGAGCGCCATTGGTCGCCCTCTTTACGTTTTCTGCCGTCGTCGGTGCAAAAACAGACATCTTTTGGTGCAGATAAGAAACATCCACCCAGCAGCGGGACTATATCGGTATTATTTTCTCCTTTTTTCATCGAGTTGATGGCATTGTGTAGTCATTTTTGTTTGGGCAACATACCGATATATCAATAGACATCATAATATCTTTTATATTGCATTTAAAATGCAGCTGAGCAGCGAAAACTATGTCGATTTCACATGGATAATCAGTGTTTTTTTCTTCTCCTCGTGACCGTCAAGCATCAGTCTGTGCCTGCTGCATGCGCGCTCCCGACAAGAGCCACAGTCGCTGTCCTTCAGCACCACGTGAACGCGCGTGCACGGATAGGGGGGGGGGGGGGGGGGTTGATTGACAGCAGCCCGAAGTCAGGATTAGAGAAATTTCCATTCTGAGGAGACATGTAAATATTTGATGCTAATAGAAGTGGAGTGCACAGACCAGCCTGTAGTTATAGACATAAACAAGGAGTTGGGTTCGACCCAGGAGTGTGTGTTTGTATGTTTGTGTGTGTGAGTGTGTGGGGTGGGGTGGGCTGCTGATCTGGATTTCATTTTCCTCTTTTCCTCACTTGTATTGTTTCTTTGGCTCATCCATTTATGTCCAATTGTTCTTATTCTGTTCTTTTTAATCCAGCTCTTCGACTTCTCAAATCTGCATATTCTTTACATTTGTGCTGAACATTTTCCAAAACCTACAACTGCCTTTCAAGCTGCCGGTGACTTGTTTACCCACCTTATATGCGACTGCTGGTTTTGACTCATGTTTGTACACAAACTCAGCTTGCAGAGGCTGGAAAATTTCTTGAGATTGTCTGTCACGGTAAACATGCAGTCTGCTTTATTTCACTGCCAAAGTCAATTCATCACATCTTGCTAATGCAGTTGAAAGCTTGACTTGTTTTGAAAACTCTTCAGCTTCTGGGAAGTGCCATTATCTAAGAATGGAGAGTTTACTATGGAATAACAGGAAACACATTTTGTGAGAAGGACGGTGTGAACTTGGAGGGTTTCTGCCTTAAAAGGGTTGCTGTTAGGTCTTGGATATCAGAGTTTCCCATGCTACCAACGCAGAAGTGTTTGAGGACATATTCTTGTCTACTCTACGTTTGACATTCATTGCCTTACTGTCCAACTTGGAGGAGGTTGTCCTCCTCTGTTTCTCTTCCTGGAGTTTCTTAGTTTTTTCCCTCCCATTGTTTTTGGTGGAGCTTTTGATAAAGCTTACGTGGCTTAACTTTCGATACTCGCTTGGATACGACACCTCATGTTGAAACCTTACTTTGAGTCAACAAACCCTTTTTTCACGTAGGTCAAACTTCTCAAACTTTATATAGTTCGAGCTCATACAAGAATGTGGAGAAATATGAGTCGGATCACTTATTTATTGCTTTCAGTACTTCATTTTTCGATACTCGGTGCTATCGGTTGATTTCCGTTGGTACCAAAAAGTTTCAAGTCTCTGCAAGTTGATTTTCATGTTGTACTGATATGAACTGAAGCTTTTGACTTTCTGGAAAAAAGGATAAATTAATTCACAAATCCAAAGATCCCACTGAAATATGTTTGACTAACTTGTAGTAAAACACATTTGTACGGTCCTGTCAGTGCTGTAACGTTGTCTCCCTGTCGTTTCAGTGAGGCTCAGTCGAGGTCAGTGATGCTTCACCATCAGGACCAACCTCTGAACTCGGCGTACGGAGGGCAGGGAGGCACAAATGATAGTTCTTCCTCTTCGTTTCGAAACAGGAAGTGCGACAAAGATGGCAACTTCAACTTCCTGCCCGGAAAGGATGACGAGGGACTCACAGGCAACGGAGGAGGAGATGAGAACCGAAACCAGGTGCGTCCCCGTAACTTGGGCCCATTGGGTCGCGACCCTCCAAACTCCTCGCCGTCTTCTGGGTATCATCACAACTCAGGGATTCTATCGCCGCGATCCCGCCTGCCCTGCTGGAGCCCCCTGGAGCCCCTGCCTGAAATCGAGAGCACGGATGACGGGTATGGTCGAGTTCCCCCCGATGGAGCGGAGGAAAGGAGGATGGAGGAAGAGGAGGGGAGGATGATGATAAGCCAGAATGAGGACAAGCAGAAAGAAATAGGGAAGCTGCAGAGGAGGAAAAGCAGCTTGGGATTCAGAGGAAGCGAGGAAGCGGAGGAAGAGGTGGGGCTGGTGGAGGATGATGACGAATGGGGAGACAGCGACTCGGAGTCTGACTTCAGCTACCGGTCCGGCAGCAGCATGTCCTCCCTCAACTTGGAGAGTGGGGGAGAAGGGATGCTGATGGGGGGTTGGGACCGCATCGGGGTCGGGGAACCAAAGTCCAACTACCAGGAAACTGACCAGAGCAGAAACAGCAGCAGAGAACCACCTGTAAGACACCGCAGCTTCAGCCGCAAGTCGCTGACAGCAAGCAACCTGGCAGATCTTCAGGAGGAAGGAACAGAAGAGCAAGATGACCATGACCAGTCTTCAGACTCAGACGCTGAGCTGCCAGAGCTGATGGACGCCGTCTGGACGCTGCGGGACCGCGAGCGCTTCAAGGCCCAGGAGATGGAGAAGCACCAGGTGCAGCTGACCATGTATCGCCGCTTGGCGCTGATCCGCTGGGTCCGCACGCTGCAGGGACGCATCCAGGAGCAGCAGAACCGCCTGCAGTCCAGCTTCGACGTCATCCTCACACACAGGAAGGAACTGCTGCGCATGGGTGCCGCCGCTGCCGTCACCAACCCCGCCCCCACCGCTGCTGTCGGCCAGTCATAAACAGAGAGAGAGAGGGAGGGGAGGAACTGACAGGAAGTGGTTAAAAACAGCATTTTTGCTCTGTTTGCCATTTCCCCTAAAAAAAAAAAACAAACAAAAAAAAACAGACTATCTCCCATCATCCTGTTTGATGTGACTCATTTTGCTGATTGTAATGATGCAAAACCCTTGTGTTTTTGTTGATTTGCGTTACTGGTTCTCCCACCCAGAGCATCGATAAATGTATTCAACTCATCTTCATTCAGGAGGACCCAAAGCCTGTCCCTTCACCAAACCAAAATGTCAGACTTAAGATATATTCTGATCAAAGCAATGGCAAGATAAACACTTAATTGTGAGATTAATAAGATGTTTATATCAAAAATGTTCTACGTGTGTATGCTGTTACTGTTTGTCTTGACTGAGTAGAAAACACCTGCTGTACCAAAAAAAAAGTATCAGAGAATATCATAGATTTAACAGTGAGTTTAGAGATGATTTATACCCTGAGATGCTGTATAGAATTACAATAAATTAAGAAATAAAATGACCTTATACCTCAACATTATGAGTTCTGCTTTTCTTCATACATTAACAGGACCTGATCTAATGAATTTTCAGTTTATTTTATCACATTTCTAACATATTAATCTGAAGAGATTGGAGATAGCTGTCTGATAATTCCTCTTTAAGAGCCCACAGCCTTCATTTCATTCCAGATCAGCATGTTGATTTCAAGGAGCAGGTTTATCAAAGCTCCCTCAGTGCAGATATGACTAAAGAAGGGCAGTTGTTATCTTCTATAGCTGCACTTTCTGTATTGAAGCCCTCGGGCAAATGACCTTTCAGCTCACAATTGCTTCTTTGTCAGTTGAACAAAGTTGGTTTGTATCGGCTCATCACAAGGGGCTGGGGAGTGTGTGTTCTGCAGGGAGTGTGATAGCCGTGTGAGGCTCAAGCGTCAATCTTTACGGGCATGGCTGCCGCCGCGGGCACTCCGACATCATCTCACCTCTTCCCGTATATGTGTGTGTGTGTGTGTGTGTGTGTGTGTGTGTGTGTGTGTGTGTGTTTGTATGTGCGTGTGTTCACAGAGATACCAGCCGCATTGCCACCCTATAATCTCCAATCCTGAGCTGAGTCGTTGGGGAACCTCGCCGCGCAGGAGGCCCCCGGGGAGCCTGCCAGTCTGCGCCCCGGGGCCCCGCAGGTCCCATCCGGCCGCACTGAACAGACGCTGGTCCGGTTGCGCGCAGGAGAGCCAAAACCCCGGGGCAAGTTTGGGATAATCCCCGGCTATGCCTCCGCACTAACTCCCGTTTATTTTTAAAGCTTATCGCCTCTCTTGGACGCAGGCATCGCAGCGAAAGTCTGAGTCCATTTACATATTGATCCCTTGTTCGCTGGCTGAAGGTGGATGTTTGCGAGGCATCAAAGCTGAGCGGATAACACGTTTACACCGGAGTAGTGAATTGTAAGCAACGTGCGAGCAACAACCTCTAAAAAAAAAAGGGACACAAACACGTCTTTGATTTTGATTTAGTAAACCACCGAGACGTGATTTCAGGCTGGTTAGGGGACGTTATGAATGCTTCCAAATAAAGCTCATGAAACCACGGAGATAAATGAGCCCAACAGCGGCACCTGATCAGCTTCGCCTCAGGAGAAAGTGTCAGTAAACTCACAGCGACGACGATGTTTTAGCTGCAGTGTTTCAATGTTAAAATATCCCCTGGTGCAATAGACATGTTAACCACTTCCTCCAGGTGCTGACATTAAAAAAAAAGGTACAATTTTGGTGCCACTCTAATAATTTATAGAAGGTTTATTAACAGTTTCATTACTGATTAAAAGACCATTTAGGCTACAAATGCTTCAAATGAAAAAATAAGCCATTAATTGACTTTTAAGTTTCCAGGTTGTGGAAATTCTCTCTTGGCTGGTGAAAAAAATAAAAACACCTGCAGCCATAAACGTGAATAAGTTATTACTAATTACTGTCACATGTTTAGCACTTTCCAGTAGTGCAAACAGAAAACAGTCCGTCCTCTGTAATTATAAATGTTAATAGCTTAATAATTTTCGTTTTACAACATAAATGGATTTTGGTCCAGATGCTCTTTTCTTGAGGCTTCCAGAAGGTCAGAGGTCAAACGGTCTCATGAGGTGGTCTCCCTCATGAGCTAAAGAGCTAAAAGAAAAAAGTCAGTGTGTCCACGCTGCAGGAGGATAACCATCTCAAACAAATGATTTATTATTCGACAATAAAGTCATTCATTACAAAATGGTGCTTTGTTCTAAAATGGTGCCAAAAATGTCAATGATGTTTATAACCATTTAACATTAAAGAGCAGCATGTTAACTGTGTGGGCTTCCTCACCATAAACACTCCTCAGTGTTGTTGTGACCGTCGGGGCTTCTGCCGCAGGCGCGCTGACAGAGCGCGTTGAGCACACATGGGTGCGCTTCTGTCTTACTCTGCGAAGCTACTCATTCAGTCAGTAATTTAGTTTAAAAAAATGGAAGGAAAACAAGACATAGAAAAATAACAGGTATGGTGTTAGATGTGTGTGTGTGTGTTTTTTTTTTCTTTCAGCGCAGAACTTCCTGGGGAGCAGAGAGGTGCGCACAGCTGGGCCTTGTGGCACCCCCATGGTGACATGGAGCAGCAGGAGGAGGATCTGCATTTTTCTGGTCTGTAACACACTTCACCTTTTTCGCCTCCAAACAACAGTGAGAGCACAGATTTCCTGCCTTTCAATGTCTGACAATGGGATTTCAATACTCCCCCCCCCCCATTGTATTCCACAGAGAAATGACTGTAATACTTCTACTTATAGCCTGCATCGGGTTCAGGGGTTGTAATGAAGAAATTACATTGTTATATTTTTGAGCTGTTTCTAATCCTTTTTTTTTTTTCACATATTCCCAAAACAGAAATTTGACATTTCTTTTACAGAAACCTGACCTCTTAAAATACATACAGCCTGCGACTAATATGTTTACCATTATACATCTTTTTTTATATCGGCTACATTTAATCTAAATTCATTATATTTAAATAAAGATTTAAAGACAGGTAGTAGGTAGTAATTTGACAGTATCACGGATTTATGCTATTTGATAGGCCTAATCAAAAACACACAACAGCCTGATTCAGTGCAGCAGTAAATCATCATGGATAAAATCACAATAAACCAGACAGCAGTGTTCTTTTATCCACTGTGGGCCAACTCCAACATTCATTCATTCACACTTTATTGTTCACTTAATCACTTCACCTAATCTCCAGTTACACTTCACAAACAGAACAAATATAAACTCACACCTCACATGCAGGACAGAATAAATAATCCAAATGCTTGCTCCTAAAATAAGTAAAAGAAAGAGAGATTCTATTTTTCTCACATTTCATGGACACACAAACACACACACACACACACACACACACACACACACACACACACACACACACACACACACACACACACACACACACACACACACACACACATATCTCTGACCTGGAGGACAAACCAGTAGTCACACTGTCCACTAGGGGGAGACACTCCATCACAGACCTGCTCCCATCAGCCCGTCACCTGCTCTCGTCTCTGTGTTTTGGCGCCAGGGGGCAGCAGCGTGCTCGTGGGTTGATCACCCCGGCAGTTTGCGTGTGCAACAGTGGTGCACTAAACGGGGGACCACCTGGGATCCATGAAAGGGTTCCCACTGGGAGGAGAAGACTGTTTTTCACTACATGTTGAATAATGAAATGCAGTGCGACATGGGGGTCAGGACCAAGACTAACACAAACAAACAAAAAACACATTTTTCTTTTACACAAAACTAAATTAATCTTTTCAGACTCTTTTCTACTCTGTGCACATTTCTGGGCATTTTCGCATTTGAATGCCTTTACAAATAAAACAAGGAAAAAAAAGTCACAGTTTTGTTGATCTGCTTTCAACCAGCAGACATGTGCAATGGTTCTTTGTGTTGCAGGGTCAGAAGCCAAAAGGGTTGGGAACCGCTGACGTAACGTGGCAGGATGGCTATTTGATAGTTATTGTAAATTTTAAGGGTTTTTATAGTTCTTAGTTGGCCTTTTCTCCTCTCCCTCCCACCCCTGACCTAGAGTTTCCAGAGATTATATAGAAATGTTGGAGTCTCAACCTGCTCGAAATAATAAAGAAATAAAGAAAAAAAACGTACACGTGACATATGATTAATTTAACTAAAGAAAAAAGAAAAAAGAAAGCTGTGACTCTTTGGGAAAAGTCTGCTCTCAGATGCAGATCTACATAGAAAAGTTGCCTAAAATATCCATGGCATATTCCTGATATTGTGGTGCAGGTCCTCTATTAAAACTCCTCAACATGCAGTTTTCATCTATTAATTGCTCGTAAAGATCTTTAAAGTTGGGAAAATCATCCTATTCCTCACTGTCTGACAGTATCATGTATTTACTGTTTATTCTGTATCAGTTTGTGCCATGTCTTCCTTGAAGATGATGAGGGAAATATTCAAAATCTTATACACGTCCCTAAAATTCAGATAATTCTGTGTCTTGAGAAACTTTGGGATGTCGACTAGAATTTGAAATAAATATTTGTGGGTCTGAGCAATGTTTGGCTGCCCACAGACACACACACACACACACACACACACACACACACACACACACTCTCTCTCTCTCACACACACAAACACACACACACACGCACACACACACTAAAAACTGTTGGGTTAAAAATGACCCAGCGTGGATCAATATAGCGTGGCCACAGTTAACTGTACCCAGTACCAATGGGTAGACAACCACCCAAGACAATGATTGTTCCAGGTCTGACCTTACTTGTCACTATTTTATTATTCATTGTTAATAACATGTGGATCCACTCTGAATGTCATTTAAACATTGTTTTGATCAACTAAAAATAAATTTGTAACAGTTTCAAGGTAAAATTTGAGGTTGTGTTCAAAGAACCATATTTTAGTTTGAATAAATAATCCAACCGTATAAAAGTAACACTGGGTCCAAACCACACATTGTTCTGGGTGGCCCCCATGGCGACTGGAGAAAGTTAACTTACAATAAATGTGTGTCCGTTTTATGCTTAAGTGTCCAACACTGGGTAGAAATAACCATATTTTAGTCATGGCAAATAACCCAACAATAAAATAAAAAACAACACTACACACGATAAATCATTGGTTTAAAGATTGACCCAGTTTTTAAAGGTACATGTTACTATTTGTTACTGATTTACTGTTACTGCCAATAATGTGTATCCTCTGCAGTTTTATACAGCTAACAATACATTTGTGACGATTTTAAGGTAAAACATGTTCAGTCTGTGTAACTGAACCAACGGTGATGTGTAAATAACGCTGTCCCTCGGACAAGACAACCCATTTGTACTGGGTAAAGTATTGAGACTGCGCTACATTGACTCAAACCGGGTCGATTTTGACACAGTGAATGTGCGGCGTGTAAAGAGGTTAAATATTCCTCATTATTAAATGTCCAATGGCTCAAAAGGCTTCT